TCTAAATACTGCAAAAGAAAGATAAAATATTTTGGAGAAAACATACATAACTTTGGCAGAAGACTAGATACTGCTTCTAGAAGACTAAATACTGCTTTCAGAAGACTAAATACTGCCGACAGGTCTAAATACAGCGTCTGGAACACTAAATACTGCTTTTTAAAGACTAAAATTGCTTTGTGGAGGCTAAATACTGCTTTCTGAAGACTAGCTACTGCTGACAGGTCTAAATACTGCAAAAGAAAGATAAGATATTGTTGGAGAAAACATTAAAAAGGCGCCCGGGTGCAGTGCACCCCTTGCACCCCCCGGTAGCACCGCCTCTGGATCCAACGGAAAAATCTACAATTTAACCAGCAAGACCAATACCTTTAAGTCTGATAAAATAGGGGTACCAAACAGAACTTTGATGTTTAAGTTGCTATGGATAACAAATAATACTTCCAGGAAGGAATATAAACACTTTAACTACTTGATGATACTCATATGGTCAGAACCAAGTCTTGTACAAAACTAACACGGCCGTTTTCGAAGATATCGGCCGCACCCACCACCACAGAGGCTTTTATTGGTGTGGATGAGCGTTTCGTGGGTTTCGGGGGCGAGATCAGTTCTTATGAATCACTAAGATGAAAGAAACGTGGTCCGATTTAGGTTGTTTCGGAATTTAGGCTTTAAATACATCGTCCTTAAGCGATGACAAGCAAAAAATTGAAGCAATTAAAGATATGCCTAAACCAATAAATAGAGAGGATTTATACAGATACTATGCTATAATATACTATGCCTAATACACTATATTATATACAGTGTATTACGCATCATACGCAAATCGCGTATTGCAATACCAATACTGTGATATTGGTTGCATACTTGCAATGATGAGGTCGGGTACGATAATTAATTAACACACTGTGCTATGCAAGGATAGAGAAGGAACTGTTATCGGGGTTGGTTATCCTAAGAGACTACAATTAATGTTAATGATACCACAAAGATATAATATTTACTTATTTACTGTCAAGGAAAAGAAAATGTGGTAGCCTTTTGAACAAGAAATGAATAGATTTAATGTATATGAAATTAAAGGTACTGCATATGAACAAATAACACGAGTTATAGAAAATATTAAACTAACTTCTGTAGTGAATATTACCAATGAAAGACAAAGGGATGGAAAAAAGATAGAAATGGAAAAAGATCGGTGTTTACAAAACATTAAAGAATATATATTATCATGGAAGGATGGCCAAAATATATAAAAGACGTGCTTGATGAAATAAATATTTACATTAAATTCAAAGACAGTTTAGTGTATCATGATGGATTGATATTTTATCAAGACAGAGTATTAATACCTCAAACAGTGAGAAATTTAAGTATGGAAAAACTTCACATAGGACACAGCGGTGTGGAAAATAGCTTAAAGTTCATTTGACGTCACATTTGGTTAAAACGTGTATTTTCGGGTGAAATACGGTTGTTTTTTTAGGTTTTCGACGCACAACGACTAAAAAGTCGTTTGCCATCCATAAACTAAAGATAACCTAAAATCTATACCTGATGCCTTAATTTACTGATTTATTTCCGAATTTTGTGTAGAAATTCCAGTTTGAATTAAATTAATTAATATTGAAATCAGTGCGAATTTCTCAAATGTCGGGTTGGGCATGAAGCAGAGGGTGGGTTGTAAATTCCGGGTTGGGTCTGAAGACGCACGGCTAAATACGATACTTTCTAGTTCTAGTTTTACACTAACACTAGAACTAGCACAAGACCTAGAACTAGAATCATTCGATTTAAGTCGTGTTGAGAGACGTGGGACTAAATCCGAATGTTTCTAGATTTCGGTCTACTGTTATTTCTAGTATTAATTAGTTAAGTATTGACACACAGTCTCTCTGACGACAGGTAGTCAGTCGTTATGCATCGAAAGCCTCAAGCTAGGTGTCAACTTGAGAGAAACTTTTGAGAGTACTTCTCGATATCTACTCTTAACTGTGTGTCCACTTGAGACTGTTTTAGCTCTTCGAGAGCTTCTATAAAATTTCTCTCAGGACCTTGTCCACTAGTGAAATGTGTTCGTGTTATGGAAAGTAAAATTTATTTTCTTTCAGTATTTGGTGTGTGTAAACATGGATGTAAAAAAAAGTGGAACATGGAAGTAAAACAAGAAGCTGTTGGGTGAAACCATGGATTTGGCGTACATTATAGCTGGGTGTCATCAAATATCAATATTCGTTATCAAATTGTTAGTTATTTGGCATACTGGATTCACAAAAAAGTGAACTAGATTGTTGAAAAATGTTAATTATCACTAAAGGTTTTCACTATCATTAAATATTTAGTGGTAGCGCAATTTTTTCACTATCACTAAAGGTTTAGTGATAATGTAATTCCTTTTTCATTATCACTAAATATTCATGATGATGAAATTCGTGTTTTAACTACCACTGAAGAAGTAGTGGTAGTGAAGTAGTGGTTTAATAGGAAATTGCATGATTAACATTGCTTGTGACGTCACATCGAAACTTTAATGTGATTTTTCGGTATGTTCTACACTTTTCTATCTTTTGTTTTTAACGTATCTTTTTGGTCATTTCACATTGATTAAAAAAAAAATAGGTAGCGTCATCTAACAATGAGAAGAGAGTAACATAAAAAGAGAAATTAAGGTTATGTAAAAGAACGTAGTCATTACTACTACTTGTTCTAAATATAATAAACAAGTTGATTTATTAAACAATTACAAACCTTTCTTTGTAAAGAAGATACCATAATTGGTACTAAACTTCTTCCCTCCGTACATGTAAGACTCAATTTCGAAGTGGAATCCTCACAAATTCTTGGGCAAGGTTCTAAACTTGATGTAATTTGTGTTAAATCGACTAAAGTCGGGAATAAGTCGACCAATTCTACTAAATCATCAAGAACTATCATTGTTTGTGTCATTCCTGGAACTTGTATAATCAAAGGTACTCGAGTTGCAACATCAAAATTGCTATATTTTGCGAATTCGCCATGTTCTCCCAAAGACCAACCTATTTTAAAATAAAAATTTTAAATTTAATTTTTAGGATATAGTTTCCGATATTTCTGGTGGTTTTTATGACTCATTCAGGTAGTTTACGAACCCTAAACTCTGGCGTGAGTTGTTCAGATGCGCATTAAATTACAAAAACAATATTTAAATACTTAATTACTTTGTGTGAAAATACAATTTATTTAAAATTTGTATTTTTAAAATGTAAACAATAATTAGTATTCTAAATAATGTTTGTTTTTAATTTAAAATATAATAAAACAAAGAAGTGCGTCATAAATCACATCCAGGTACTTTTTCGGGATGATAATTACTGCCACTACTGTTTTTGAGGGTCGTAAAAATCACCAGAAATATCGGAAATTATAATTTTAATATTTACCATGATCTCCAAGTAAAACAACAATTGTATTCCTATCGATTTGTTGTAATAACGTTCCAATGAGATCGTCGATATAAGAAATCGAAGCGGAGTACGCTTGGATTATTTCTTTCGTTTGATTCAAAGGCATTTCTCCGAACGGAAATGAAATGTTTAATTTATCGATATCTTCGCGTTCTCGGACGTCCGTCCATGGATTCCAAGCGACAGTTGGCATACTGGATGGTCTCGCATGATTTTTAGGGAGCTTTATTTTATTTAACTGATGAAATCCTACGATTTCAGTTAAAAATGAATTTTTTTAAACGTTCCAAAATTAAAATGGTATACTCAAATATTCGACGGGAAATTTAAATGGAATGTGTGGTTTATGAAATCCAACGGCTAAAAAGTATGGGCATTTCTCGTTTTGAATCGTTTTTAAAAAATCAATTGCAGCTTCTAAAATTTCGATATCCGGTAGTGTTCCTTTGGGTTGTTCTTTAACTATAACGGGACAAATTAGATTTGCACCTAATGTTCCATCTCTATTTCGGCATGTTTTAGCGTCTTTGTATTTTTCGGTGATTGGATGGAAAGGTTTTCCTGACCAACTGTATGGATTATCGTCGGTAAAGTTTGATGAAATTCCGGGATGAAAAACTTTCCCAATAGAATGCGTGATGTAACCGTGTTCTTTAAAATGTTGGGGTAAAGTTGTAAAATTTCCTACAGAGTCCCTCCAATAACTATAAAAATCGTATAAACGAAGAGTATCAGGTCGACGGCTTGTTAGGAAGGAGTTGCGACTCGGTGCACATAACGATTGCTGAAAATTAAAAAGGAAATAACCCCCAAAATTTGCTTTTATTTTCGTGATCACCTGGCAAAAAGCATGCTTAAACACAAAACTTCTTTTTGATAAACTATCTATGTTTGGAGTGTAAGCATTTTTATCGCCATAAATTCCTAAGGAAGGTCGGAGGTCATCGACGACGATTAAAAGAATATTTTGTCGTTTACAATATCCAAAATTTTTTTTATCAATAAAATTAATTACCATCAAAAATTGAACGAAAATTTTAACGTTTATATTCATTCTGTATTTGAAAAATTATCACTCAAAGAATTGACATTTTTTTATTAATGACAACTGTCATTATCTTTAAAACTAAAATCCCTAAATTAGATACCAACCATAGAATTTCATTTCGTTTAAATCGAAATTTTCATTTTATTTATCTTGAAGAAGATTCTCTCTCGAGAGCGAGAGAAGCGAAATGAGCGGCGTTGCCAAATCGTTGTAGAAATTAATTCTTATATAAAAGCATTATTTGTTGTTATGAACGTATCCCCCCCAAAGGCCTTGCTGTGACGTCATTGGGAGAATTGACATTTCTATATTTTTATTTATACAGTGTATTTCACTTAAGAAGCAATACATAAAAATACAAAAAAAAATATAAAATAAAATAAAAAAAAATTAAAATATAAAGCGAAATATTAACGGTTATAATTTTATTATTCTTAGGTTATCCAACTTGACTCGGTTACCATGGTGATTAAGATCCAAATATTGCAGGTGCTTGTCAAAATTGAAATTGAATTTAAGTTTTTTTAAGGAAAAAGTCTTATTTAATTTGGTGTAAAAGGCTGCATTTAACTCAAAATTGGTTTATCTAGGGAATTATAAACAAGGTAAGTGGATTAAATCAAAAAAAGATATTTTTAATTTATATCTCTTAATTAGAATCGATTTAAATTAATTATAATTAACGAATTTGTTATGAATGCGAGAAAAATTAGGTTAGAATTGATAAAAAAATTGGAATAAACTTTTATTATTTTAAGGTTATCCAACTTGACTCGGTTACCATGGTGATTAAGATCCAAATATTGCAGTTGCTTGTCAAAATTGACGTTGAATTTAAGTTTTTTTTAATGAAAAACATAATTAATTGGATTTAAAGGGTGTATTTAATTCAAAATGGGTAAATGGATGAAATTATAAGCAAGGTAAGTGGATTAAATCAAAAAAAAATTTTTTTTAGATCAATTAAAATGTACAAGAATTTAGGGTTAAATAACAATTAAAACTAGATCTAATACTAGAACTAAAAAGTTTTTGGGACTGCTCTACTCTGCACGACATGGTAGTAGTATGACGTCATAGTGCAATTAAGTGTAAGTAAGTGCAGTGTCTTGTCAACTGAGTGCAGGTTAGAAAAAGAACTTTCAGTTGTCAATGTCAACTTTAATTTTATTACTATTATATAAAACATTGTTTAACTTTATAACCATATTACTACTATCATTAGCAATGCTTCTAATAACGCAAGTACCTGTACCCCTGACATTTAACTTACAACCGTCTGCTACACTAACAACTGTTGCACCGTTTTTATTAATATGTTCTAATAACTTTGGATTATTACACATGCGGGCCGTTGCTCCAGAATCTATGTACCACATTCGGTCGTCTCGTTGTCCTGTTATAGTGTTGGATTTATTGCAATGATGAATTATGGTATTTTCCTTCGCTATATAACTCTTCCTTTTCATTGTCTGAATTTTCTTTCCTGTCTTCTGTTATCTTGGCTTTGTGTTTCTTCAACCAAGTTATATACTTTCGATCATCTTTCTTCATATGTCCTTTTTTCTTGCAAAAGAAACATTCAATATTTTTCTTCTCTATACCTCTAGAACAGTGTTTCCCAAACTTCCAGCTTTTTCCCTGTTGTAATTATCAAAACTTCCAGTACTCCTCGTTAAAAAAAAGTTCTTTTAGCATCAATATAATAAATAAATGTAATAATAATAACATTAACGAAAGCATCAGTGGGATGGATGAATTTGTTTATGTTGAGATGATGCCAAATGATTATAATCAGGTTCCGTTAATTTTAATCGAAGATGCGGCTCCACATCCAAAATCCCGTTTCTTTTTTTCGTCTTAATATCGACTAATGTTGAAAACGCAACCTCACATAGATATGATGTTGGAAATGGCAAAACATGTTTTAACACTTTTTCTGTTAAATTCGGATATAGTTGTTGCATTTGCAGTCAAAAAGATGCTAAAGAACACTCTTTATGTTTATTTTTCAAAAATCCGCCTGCAGATAACTCCAAGAGCTGTTCTTGTTCCACATTAGATAAATTATCTGGCATGGCAGATGAATCAATATTAAACGGATGTCTTATCCATTCGAGGTTTGTCGTTAAATCCGGAAAATAATTTTTCAGGCCCTCTTGTAATCCGTCCAAACATTTCAGAACATCCGTATCAATTGTATCAGATGATTTTATTACAAACTCATGAATAGAGGGAAACGAGTCTAGCTCTCCATTATTAACTCTAGTTTTCCATAACTTTAATTTTTCAATTGTAGGGTTTACTTTGTCCTGGACATGAAACAATGAAATATCTTTACCTTGTAATGATAAATTGAGTCTATTTAAAATAGAGAATATATCTGCTAAGTATGCCAATTTGGATAGCCACGTTGAGTCATGTAGACACTTTTTCAGTTCAAATTTGTCATTAAGAAAAACTTGAAAAAAAGCAGAAACACAAAAAGAAGAAAACAAAAAGCAGTTGGGTTTGGCTGCTTCCCATTTCTTCACACATTTGTGCAAAAAGTCTTGCGTTTAAAGGTCGACCTTTAATATAATTAACGATTTTTACGCTTTCATCAAGAACTTTTCGCAGATCTTACGTGTTGCCAAAGCCTCTCTGTGAATGCAACAATGTGTGGACTTGACATTTGGTACAACCTTCTGAATTTTTGCTATGAGTCCTTTATTAATGCCGACCATACTTTTTGCACCATCTGTACTTATTGCAACACATTTAGTCCAACTAATTTTGTTATCTTGTATAAATTTATTCATAACGTTAAAGATATCTTCTCCTGTTGTATGACCTAATAAAGGCTGGCAAAATAAAAAGTCGTCGTTAATTTCTTGGTTCTTTTCGTATCTAACAAACGCCATAAAATTTGTAAAATTTGTGATATCATCGACTTGTAATGCATAATAACGATTTTGAGAAATATCAGACAATAACATCTGTTTCAAATTATTGGCCATATCAATTATTCGTCGATGAACTGTATTATTTGACAAGGGTACACGATCAAGAGTTTGTTTTGCTTTATCATTACTTCTGCCATTATTTTGGCAGCTGGCTTGATTAAAGTTTCGCCAATCATCTCCGCTGCACCACATTTCGCAATTAAAAGCGAGACGCGATACGAAGTTTCTAGGATTTTTTGATTGTCACCTCCTGTTAAACCTCTCATTACTTTTTGAGATTGATTTAAATCTTTGAGTTTATGTTCAAAAAATTCGATTGGTTTATCTTTGTATTCAAAGTGCTTTGTGTCAAAATGTCGCTTTAAGTTCGATGGTTTCATACTTTCATTGGTAAGGTTTTTAAAACAAATTACGCAAAGTGGAATGGGTTGCTTTTCATCACCACTCCACGAGAAGCTCAATTGAAGGTATTCTTTGTCGTATTTTCGAGTCTTCCTTGCTTTTTTGTTAACCGGTTTTGAAGAAGTTTCGTCTTCGATAATTTCATGAATTCGTTCAATTTCGTTTACTTTGCGTTTAGAACATCCGGGTTGCAACCAACGGTCCATAATCTTGATTATTAGATATACACATTATATTTTATAAAAATAAATAAAAAACAATAAAACTTACTAAAGAAAGCTCCTAAAAATAATACACAAGAGACACACGCGGTATCAGTTCAATAGCGACTGAAGATTTTTACTTGAATGCCCGGGGAATCACGGCACCCGGCGGCTCGGTGTCAAAAAGTAACATATATACAGGAATAACAAATTTTTATTTTTTTTTAATGTTTAATCAAAAAATAGTTAAAAGTCTGCTGCACCAGGCGTAGGAAAAGTTGCAACGTGTACCCCCATCAAACTGTTCCTGTACCCCTGGTGATACACGTACCATAGTTTGGGAAACACTGCTCTAGAATATTGCAGTGTCTTCATGGCCTTTGAAGCTTCGTCGTCGTCCCGATTTTTTCGTTTTTCATTCTCCTCCAGAAGTCTTTGTTTCACAAATTCCGCTGTCAACTTGTCCGTTCTCTTTTCTAATGCAATTATAAGATGATCATAACTAGCTGGCAAACTTTGTAAATAAAATATAATCATTTCTTCAGGAAAAATATGTCCAGCAGTTGTTAATTGCTCCAGTAATTCTTCCATTTTCCTTATGTGAATCTCCATGTCACCACCTTCTGAGAGTTCCCTTTTACATAACTTTTTGAGTAGTCTGGTTGTCACACCTAATGTAGACTTTTTATCTGTAAGGCCCCATATGTCTTCTTTTGGAGTTGGTGGTTCATTTGTAACAACTTCCCAAAGATTTTCCCGAATTAACAACATCTCAACTCGAAATTTCCATGTCTGATAATTGTTGTTAGATAATAGCTTTATTTGACCCATATGCTTTTCACTTTCCATCTTGATATCTTTCTGTTATATCTCCTTATTATATATTATATAAGTATTTCAATCTTTATAACCCGCGATCTGGGCCCATAACCTGATGGACTATACAAATATAGACAAATATACTAACAAACTACTCATAAAACATGAATGCACTCTTGATTGGGATTGCTTTATGATAAAATATAACATTTCAACAGTTTCTATAAGGCGTGGCATAATTTTAATCACAAATACTAGAGTAAAAATGATAATGATTCATTCCATATGCAACCACGAGATCCATGCTATACAGGGCGTTTACAGAGGTTATTTCCTTTAAACTTTTTTATTATGTCATAAACTACTAAAATTTTACAACTGATTCTAAAAGCCTGTTTCATTTTAAAATTATTTTCACTCTTAGAAATGTTTGATTAGACGCATCGTTTTCGCGTTGTTAAATTAATTCGAATTGTGAATGGGTAGGAAAAGGATTTTAAGTCTTATAAAATAAAACGAGTAATTTGTCATTTTTGGGATGCTCTTTACTTAATTTTAATAAATAATTCTGTATTCCTATTTTACATCGAGATTGCTTCTAATTGTGTGCTTGAAAACTTTGTGTAAATAAAATGTTAAACTAGTTGGAAGAACCAATTGCTAATTTGAGAGAGACAAACAGAGTCTCTGATTTTATTGGCACAAGACTTTTGCTAACGGTGTCACATGTGGTAGCAATACCTGTAACTATAACGTTATTATATACTGACAAGTTGACTTCGTAATTGAATGTGAGGGAGAAGGAAACTCTGAAGGCAACTACCACATTCACCGAATATACAAACACAGTCTTTGTTATAACATTTCTGTAATTTCCAAAGATCTTGTAGGCATCGCTTGCATTGGAAATGTTATATTTATTACAGAAAGTTTTAAAATTACTTTCAGACTCCAGTGCTACTTGTAATTCACTTAGTGCAATCACTTTAAGAGTTATAGTACTAGTATGATCGCGTATAAAACTAGTTATGACTGTTGAATCGACTGTTTTTGTGCCAGTCACTTTAGTTAATATATAACTCTCTGAAACGAAGTATGCTTGGTTATTTGTAAACAGAAAACCACCACCCAATTCAAGAGAATATATAAACGTATACTTATAGGAAATTGCAAAAATCATGTTAGCATCATCATTAACAAACGTTAATATCGTGCCGGTATATTGGAAATTAATATTAAGTCTGCCGAGCTGGAAACTAAATGCAAGGTAACTTTGAACGTAAAGAATATTTAGATTGACTGATAAGTTGCCAATTTTGAAGGTTTTGCCAACTGACTGTGTATTCTTTGCATTACTGATAATTTCATCTACTGATTCTTCCGAATTACTAACCAGTGTTATGTATGCTTCGAGAGTTATTTCTACGTTTATGTTCCTAACAATATATAAAGCGACTTTAGAAGATAACATTCCAAAACGCGTGATTGTTCTACCAATTGCGTTACAGAATGTTACTGATTGATGACTTGCGATACCAAACATTGCATAAATAGTGACAGTATATGAATTGTAGTTTTTCCCGATCTCTGACCCTGCGGAGTAGATCAATTCGAACACAACTGTGTACGTTGTTTTGATGTCTGCAATGATTTCTGCTTTACCGTCTATAAAGATGATGTTAACATCAAACCTGGTCTTCATAATAAAGTCAAAGCTTATTTTAACTACATCTGTGCCCTTAGCTTGCAAATCCCCGGCGGCTTTATCGAAAGCCTTTCTTAACGCGGCGAAGTCGCTAGCAAATATAAGGTTTATATCAATCTCCACTTTCATGCAGTATCCGGCTTTTATATCGATGATTAAACCAAATGTAGCATTACGAAGACCGATGAAGAACAACGAGTTCTTCGTGTCAATTGCCAAAACCACATTGGTTTTCTTATTAACGATAACTGTGACTTCTTCTATTTTCGAAACAGTAATTGTCACATTTGAGTTGAATATTATTTGCACCCCATTCTTCCACTCTACGGTTCCTGAATGAAAGAACACGAATAAATCAATTAAAAGTTATTTGAATATTTAATAAAATAAATATATAAAAACATTAAATTTACTTACCATTTTTAACAACGTCGCATGTCCATTTACATTGATCGTTCGATGTACCTAATAAAAAATTTTACTTCTTCAATGTATTCAATAAAATTTGTATAAAAGCACAAATAGAAAGATATCTTACCTGCTGTTGTAACGGCAAGTGTTGTTGCCGATAAACCGAGGACGCCGACAATTAAAGCAACAATAGAGGACTTCATCTTATTATACTAGTAAGTTGGTTTACTAGTAGACGGAATTGCTTTTTTGTTTTTAGTCGCAGACTTTATATACTACTTAAACGGCATCCTGAACATTTCGTTATCGATAACAACGAGATGCTTCGAGGTGCTTTCTTCTTTCGCAATACAAACGCAGGGTTCCTTCGTTGCAAAATAGATAATTTTGCATACTTGTGATAGTATCGTGGAATGTTCATTTCGCAACTTTACCTTTTTTTCTAATATTTCTCTGTAATTTTATTTCACTTCAATCATAAAAAGATCGTTTTAATTAATAAATTATTTAATTTTTAATCTATTTGTACAAATATTTCGTGATTTCTTCACGGATTTTAGGCGAAAAATGCAGGATTTCTTAATATAATAAGAAAATATATAAATTCCCTGATAAAACGGGAATGTTTCTCTAACATAATTGTATATCAGTAACGAACACAAAAATTTGTTGCAAAACGATGGACGTCAAAGATTTTTTTAAAGAATTACTAAACTTTTTTCTTACTCAACTAATGCCTTCATATTCATTTCTTTACGATACTTGCCTTTAACAATCAAATTGTGATGTTAAAATGTAGTGGTTTACTTGAAATTAATTTTGTTCTTAAATCTAAACGATAACACTGGCCGACAAATTTTTAAACCAAAGACTAGACTATACCTTCCAAATAATTTTCGATACCCTGAATACGAATCTGACGTCAGAATTGCTTCATCACCTAAGATTTTCAAGATATCTTACCTAAAATATGCGAAAAACACTATTTTTCAGCACATTCAAGGCTGAATTTACATCAAAAGATAATTTTTCTCCACAGAAGTCATTATGTCATTTAAAACTATTTCTCTGCCCCCTTAAAATCTTATATTATTCATTTAAATATTTTTCTTGATCTCTGAGAAATTGTCCCCTAAAACTAAAAAATTCATCATGTTTGAAATAACATCTTTTTATTTTCCAGTTTTATTTACAAGTTTTAAAATGGTGAAAATGTGTTCAGGTAAAGTGACACTTGCAGTCAAGCGATTTCGCTAAAATTCAATATATGGTAATTTTTTATCATTTATTAGATGTATACGAAAGTATATGTTGGGCTATACATATCAAAAGTGTAAGTTTATATGAAACATTTGAATGTCTTCAGGTAAAGTGCCATTTCCGGTTAGTGGATTTGGTCCAAAAGTTGTTTAAGAGCTTTCGATATTGGTTTAATAGCTATATGCCAAATTTCATTACGGTAACTGATTGCGTTTTTAAGTTATCGTGTTTACACATATTATTACATACGTATTTGCATTTTCTGGGAATGGTCAATATCAGGACTCAGGGGACCTCAAAACGTGTATATCCATCAAAATGTCGAGGTCGAATCTTTGTACGATTACAATACTTTATCTCATATACTTCGTATATAGTGCGAGAAAGTAAAAATTAATTTACAATATTTTTCTTTGATATACTTTATAACAATGAAACTTCATAACTTTCACTTATTCTCGAATATTTTTAAATTAATTTGTTTTTTATTGTATTTAATTTTGTATTTTTAAAACTTCTTTTCTATTTATAACAGTTTAGATGTTATTTTAGTTTCTTATGATAACGATCGCGCATCAATTCAAACGATCACTTAACACTCTTACGCTTATATTGAGCAGCGTTATCGTTTCTTTTCAAAGACCAGCAGTAGTCAGCCATCATTCTTTCATCCCATCTACCTTGATAGTGTCGCTCTTTTTCTTTCAAATCCTGATGGAATCGTTCACCTATTTCTTCGCTGAAGGCTCCTACATTTTCCTGAAAGTAATCTAAATGGGAAAATAGGAAATGTAGCTTCAAACTCATTAAACAGCCTAATTTTTTAAAGTTTAATAACATTGTCGATACAATGTTTTTATATTGTGGGTCCCGATGGTTGCCCAAGAAATTTTGTACAACTTCTTAACTTAACCAAGCATTTTTTGCGTTATCTGTTATTGTTCTTATAAAATCGTCATCTTTCATTAAGTTTCTTATATCAGGCCCCACGAAAATACCTTCCTTAACTTTAGCATTACTTAAATTTTGAAATGCAGACTTAAGGTATTTAAAACAGTTTCCATCAGTATTTAAGGCTTTTACGAATTGTTTGATCAAGCCTAATTTGATATGGAGTGGAGGTAACAAAATACGCTTTGTGTCAACAAGACTCTTGTAAACAACATTGTTGGAACCAACTTTCCAATCAAATCTTTCAGGCCACTTTTTTTGAATCCAATGTTGTTCTCGGGCACGACTGTCCCAAATGCAGAGAAAGCAAGGATTTTTTGTATTTCCTGATTGTAAACCAACCAAAATATTGATCATTTTAAAGTAGTCACCACATATAAACCAGTTGTGGATGTTGTAATTGATTTTTTCGAGTACAAATTGAAGGTCTTCGTATGATTCTTTTCGCCTGGTGGAATGACCAATAGGGATTGCTGCGTATTTATTGCCGTTATGGAGCAACACTGCTTTAAGGCGTTCTTTAGAAGAATCTATAAAGAGAAGCCAGTCATCGGACTTATACACATCTACTTGATATGTATTGATAAGTCCTTCTATATCATTACAATAAACTAAGGAATTTTCACTAGAAAAATATTTCAGAAATTCCTCATCTCTTCTTCTGTACGCTGTAATTTTTGTTCCGGGTAACAACATGTTCCTCTCTTTAAGTCTTGAAGCCAATAATTCAGCTGAATCTTTAGAAAGAATAAGATCGCGAATAAGATCATCTAATGAATCTTGATCAAAAAGTTCAGGGTCTTTGGCACTAACAGAATCCTCATAATCACTGTCCTTTTCACTTTCAATAGAACTCATTTCTTCCAAACAACATTCATGTTTATTAGGTGGTACTTTGTCTAATCTCGCTATTTTTCCTTTCTTGGCTGGTGTTACGCTTTGTACGTTAGAATATAATATGTTTCCTTTATTTTTTTTATTACAACCTGTTATATCACAGGCACAGAAGTAACAGTCTTCATTGTGATCCTTAGGCTCGTACCACATGGTTGGTGTAATGACAACTTCCTTTTTCATATCGTTCCAATTAATCAGAGTTAATCTACAAGTAGTACAAATAGATGTAGGTACCCACGGTTTAACTAAATTTCTCATAGGTATGTTGTAACATTCTACAAATTTTTTTAATCCATTCATTAATGGTTCTGCGATAAGGACGTGTTTCGAAGTTTCCGCAAAAAAGTCACTAAAGAATAAGCTTTCCGCCTCATATTTTTTTATATTAATATTCCATCGTTTTAAAATTTTTTTGTAGAAAATCCAATATGGTTGTGATTTTCATCTTATAAAACGCTATAGAGCTTAAATAAAAAAATAATATGTAAATTGTCTCTTTTTGAATGAATAAATCTCGTAAGCAATCATTTTATTTTTGTAAATACTGCTATAGTTTTCCCATTAAAACTACAACTTTGCTAACAAACCAAATAATTTCATAAAAATTAACTGGATTTTGAATGTCCAGTTTCTCAATCGAATACCTCCTGGTTAAAAGATAAATGCATGGTTAAAAATTTCAACTTTAAAACTTCATTTTTAGATATTTGATCACATTTTCGCATATTTGTTTTACTGTGCGTCAACATCGCTAACTTGATGTAACTCAACATGATCTCAACCGATGTACTTATTAATTTCAACAGATGATATCTCGAAGAAGAAAAAAGATATTTAAGTAATTGAAAAAGAGTTTTAAAGGGGAACTTTTAAAAAAAATTGTTTTTTTTAACTCCCTCATGTGAACTATAACCACAAATACGACCAGAAACCGCATTTTTAACATATTTTGGCTAAGATATTTTGAAAACCTTACGTGATGAAGCATTTTTGAGATTAAATTTGGATTTAGAACGTGAAAAACCTTCAGGATAGTATAGTCTAGTTGTTGGTTTAGAAAACATTTCAATTTTTGTCGGCCTGTGTAATCTTAAATTCGTAATCTGCGTAAAATTCTCGTTAATTTGATACCAAACACGACCTATTTGCGATAAAAATTAATAATTAGAGAGAGATGGAGATATTCAAACAAATTCAATTGTTTTTTAGGTTAATTTGGGATATCTCGGGAAGTTTTTAACCGAAATACGTCGAGTTTGGATGCGATTTAAAGGATTTTTAATTCTCTTTACGATTATCTTAATTAAAAATAATTTTGAGAAATTTTTGTCAATTAAAAAATTTTTAAAATAATGAAATCGATCATCCTAAATTCGTAATCTGCGTAAAATTCCCGTTAATTTGATACCAAACACGACCTATTTGCGATAAAAATTAATAATTAAAGAGAGATGGAGATATTCAAACAAATTCAATTGTTTTTTAGGTTAATTTGGGATATCTCGGGAAGTTTTTAACCGAAATACGTCGAGTTTGGATTCGTTTTAAAGGATTTTTAATTCTCTTTAAATTCCCTTAATTAAAAATAATTTTGAGAAATTTTTGTCAATTAAAAAATTTTTAAAATAATGAAATCGATCATCCTAAATTCGTAATCTGCGTAAAATTCCCGTTAATTTGATACCAAACATGACCTATTTGCGATAAATTAATGATTAAAGAGAGATGCAGATATATAAACAAATTCAATTGTTTTTTTAGGTTAATTCGGGGTATCTCGGGAAGTTTTTAACCGAAATACGTCGAGTTTGGATTCGTTTTAAAGGATTTTTAATTCTCTTTACGATTATCTTAATTAAAAATAATTTTGAGAAATTTTTGTCAATTAAAAGAATTTTTAAAATTATAAAATCGATCATCCTAAATTCGTAATCTGCGTAAAATTCCCGTTAATTTGATACCAAACACGACCTATTTGCGATAAAAATTAATAATTAAAGAGAGATGGAGGTATTCAAACAAATTCAATTGTTTTTTAGGTTAATTTGGTATATCTCGGGAAGTTTTTAACCGAAATACGTCGAGTTTGGATTCGTTTTAAAGTATTTTTAATTCTCTTTACGATTATCTTAATTAAATATATTTCTTCAAACACTATGAGAAGTCGTGTAAAAAAATGTAACGTTAGAAACACTTTTTATGTATAATTACATATGTATGTAGCACATAAAACCGCAGGATTAACAGGGATAGAGAATGGAAGGATTATAAAAACCCTTCTTGATTGCAATCCCTAGAGATTATAAAATACAGTTTTTAGTGACACTAAAAACTGTAATTATATTATTTTAAAGAAAAATAATCTAAAATGAAAGCAATTAAATTTATATAAATCAAATATCTGTTTAAAATTTCTTTAATTATTCATTTTATATCAAAACAAAAACAAGAAATTATATAATTGAAATCGTCAGTTATCTCAAACGTTGTTCTAATAATGAACATATGAGCAACACATGTCGATTTATCTCAAGAACATATAAAAACACATCCTGCGTACAGCGCGCAATGTCCGTTGATCATCAAAACGCACTTAAATTTCAGTGCGTACCCAAACTATTCAAAATCTTCCGCGAAATAAATAATAAATAAAAATGCAAATAATCCTTTTCGGATTATTTTGTGTACAGTATTCATTAGTTTTCGGTGAAAACGATGTGTTAAGGTTAAAAGATCACCGGGAATTTTTCAATTTTGGAATTAAAAAGCCAAAAGCGAGTGTAACCGACGATAACGGCGCGTTTAAATCAAAAGTTGAAGTTTTAGGGAGAATCTTTAAAGAGAAAATAACCGAAATCAAGTCAAACAATCAATTGGATTTTATTTTCTTGATTGATGCCTCGTCGAGTATCGGGGAGATTAATTTTAAAAATGAATTAAAATTCGTTCGGAAATTACTGAGTGATGTCACAATCGATTACGATCATTCCAGAATTGCTTTGATCACGTATAGTTCGAGAAATAAAATAGTTAAGAGTGTTGATGAAATTTCAAAACCAAAAATGGAAAATAATAAATGTTTGTTGTTAAATAAAGAAATCGATAATATTACTTATTCCGGTGGGGACACTTTTACTTTAGGAGCTTTTGAAACTGCCAAAGAAATTTTTCAACATTCTAGAAATTCGAGTAAGAAGGTTTTGTTTCTTATCACCGATGGGTTTTCTAATGGGGGCGATCCGGTTCCTGTTGCGCAAGATTTAAAAAAAGATAATGTTACTATATTTACCATTGGAATAAGAAACGGAAATTTTCAAGAATTGTATCAATTATCTTCTTCGCCCGGCGAATATTACAGTTATCTTTTAGACAGTTATAATCAATTTGAGAGCTTAGCCAGGAGAGCTTTACATGTTGGTAAGAAAATTATTAATTAATAAAGAGAAAACGTAATTATTAAAAAAAAATGTTTTATTTTAGATTTACAAACTGGTGAATATATTCCATTGGGGACATCGAAACCTTGCGATAATTTATGCAAAGAGGGAAACTGTTGCGATGAAGAAGCTTTATGTACGTGCGGAACATCGACTGGCCATTACAGTTGTATTTGTAAACCAGGTTTTTTCGGTTCTGGATTACACAATGATTGTTCACGTAATTAATTTGTTTTTGGCACAAAAGAAAATTGATTAATTAATTAATTTCCATATTAGCTTGTCCAATTAACACATTTTCAAACGGCCCGAATTTATGTCTTCCTTGTCCCGATCCAAATCAATCGGCTAATTTGGGTTCGATCGGAATTGAAAGTTGTAAATGTAAAAGTGGATTTCAACCAACGAATGATAATAGATGCGAAGTTTTAAAATGTGAAAAATTAGCAGCACCAGAGCATGGATATTTTGTTAAAAAACGAGAATGCGCTAACGTTTTAAACAGCGCTTGTGGAATCCGTTGTGAAATTGGTTATATCCTCGAAGGAACCAGCATAAGATTGTGTCAAGCGAATGCTACATGGAGTGGACAAGAACCATCATGTTTAGGTAAAAATTAAATTAATATAATTTGTTTTATCATCAACGTTTATTTTTAGTAAAAACTTGTGAGGCTTTACAAACCCCTCTTCACGGCAACATGACATGTAAACACCAAGAATTAGAAACAACTTACACAAACGAACCAAAACTCCCCGTTGATACGGTTTGTTCGTTTTCCTGCGACCAAGGAAGAACATTATTAGGCTCCAAACAAAGAACTTGCCTACCGTTAGCTCATTGGGATGGTTTAAAAACATCGTGCAAATGTGATAATATCTCAAATTTATTTAAAAACTTTATTATTAAACAAAAATCGTTTCAGTGGTGAAATGTAATAAGTTACCAAAAATTCCTTTCGGGAAAATCGAACCAAGTTCTTGTCAAATTGGAAAACAAAATTTCGGAAAACATTGTTCGATTTCTTGCGAGGATGGTTTCGAATTAATCGGGCCGAAAGAGAAAATTTGTAATGGGTTCCACGGAAATTGGAATAACAAAAAAGATAATAAATGTAAAGATGTTACAAAGCCGGTTTTAATTTGCCCAGAAAATATAAAAAATTTTACTTTACCCGGGAAAAATTATGGAAACGCTCATTGGAAACTCCTCAATGTAACCGATAATTCAGGTTTAAACGTAACGATTTGGACGAAACCCTCCATTTCTAACGTAACCAATTTTAAATTTAAACTTGGTACAACTATTGTTACGTATTATGCGCAAGATTTTCAAAGAAACGTTGCTAAATGTAGCTTTAATGTGGAAATAATTGGTAAGTTAATAATAAATCTAATCTAATAATAATTAGAATAATTAGCTCAGATAAGAATTGATATATAAAGTTATTTATTTAATCGTATGGATGTGGAAAGTGTGGTTAAGAAAATATTATTTAGGATTAGGAAATAAAAAAAAAAAACATATTGTTGAGTGGAGTGGAAATCTGGGAAGTATTGGAAGGGTCTAGATGGAGAAGAGGAAGATTGGTCAAAACGAAGAAAAGACAAGAAGGAAGATTGACATTGAAAGCTAAATAAAAGCTGGAACGATGAAAAAGAAGCTTCGACAATTAGTCGTGTATTGGAAGAAAGCTAGAAAGATACTGGTAGTAGCAGAAAGAAACTAAACAGAGATTGTAACAATAAGCACAAGATTCGGCATGGAGGAAGGAAATTGAAACGAGTCTCTCAAAGGAACTAGAGATTGGAAAGTACTGGAAGGGTCTAGATGGAGAAGAGGAAGACTGGTCAAAAAGAAGGAAACACAAGAAGGAAGATCGACATTGAAACTTAAAGAAAGTGATTAAACGAAAAAAGGGAATGTTACAAATATGCTGGTAATAGAAGAAAGAGGGCAAATAGAAGCTGGAAAGATGAAAAAGAAACTTTGACAATTAATCGGGTATTGAGAGGAACCTGTAGAAGCAAGACAACTACTGCGCAGAAAAGAAAATGTGTGGAAATAGCATGGTAATAGAAAAAAGGGGCTGAATATATATAAATTGGAGACTACACAAAGAAGAAGGAATTAGATTAAAAAGGAGAAAGCTAGAAAGATACTGGTAGTAGCAGAAAGAAACTAAACAGAGATTGTAACAATAAGCACAAGATTCGGCATGGAGGAAGGAAATTGAAACGAGTCTCTCAAAGGAACTAGAGATTGGAAAGTACTGGAAGGGTCTAGATGGAGAAGAGGAAGACTGGTCAAAAAGAAGGAAACACAAGAAGGAAGATCGACATTGAACCTTAAAGAAAGTGATTAAACGAGAAAAGGGAATGTTACAAATATGCTGGTAATAGAAGAAAGAGGCCAAATAGATGCTGGAAAGATGAAAAAGAATCATTGACAATGAGTCAGGTATTGGGAGGAACCTGTAAAAGCAAGAAAACTACTGTGCAGAGAAGAAAATGTGTGGAAATAGCATGGTAATAGAAGAAAGGGACTGAGTAAATACAAATCGGAGATTGGATAAAGAAGAAAGGATTAAGAGGAAAATTGAAACAAGACTCTAAAACGAACTAAAAAGACTTCTAGTAGAAATCCTTTGATGATGTGATATCAGATTTTCAGTTTTCTGATTCAATCAAGTTTACGATTTATATTTACTAAATAATTTATAAATTCCAAACTTGGAATTTTACATCTGCCTTGATTATTCCACCTTAATAACAATTTCACCTCTTGTTCTATAAGTTTAAGGAACGTTTGAGGTTAGGTTATTCCAAATATAAACATTTAAAATTTTATTCGTTAAGAGTGTAAAGGCAAAAAAGGTATTGTTCAGGGGAATAAAAGACTGGAAACTACTGGAAGGGTCTAGATGGAGAAGAGGAAGACTGGTCAAAAAGGACGAAACACAAAAAGGAAAATTGACATTGAAACTTAAAGAAAGTGATTAAATTAGAAAAGGGAATGTTACAAAAATGCTGGTAATAGAAGAAAGGGGCCTAATAGAAGCTGGAAAGATGAAAAAGAATCTTTGACAATGAATCAGGTATAGGGAGGAACTTGTAAAAACAAGAAAACTACTGCGCAGAGAAGAAAATATGTGAAAATAGCATGGTAATAAGTACAAATCGGAGATTGGATAAAGAAGAAAGATTTTCAGTTTTCTGACTCAATCAAGTTTACGATTTATATTTATTAAATTATTTGTAAATTCCAAACTTGGAGTTTTGCATCTGCCTTAATAACGATTTTGCATCATGTTCTATAAGTTTTCAATTTCTACAGATTACGAATGTTATCGATGTAACTTATCAGACGGGAGCCATTGAAAATAATTTGTTAGAAGAGACGGCAAATGAAGCACCAACTAAAGAAGACAAAGATAGAAAATGGCGAAAAAGAGATTTTAGTTTTGAATTAGTTGAATACAATTTAGAAGAAGATCCTGTTCACGAACATTTTTCACACTGTAATTTAGCAGTAGCTGTTTTCTTAACATCCCTTAGGCCTGTTGCTGAAACTATACCTTACCAGTCAAATTATCCAAAGGAACAGAATTCTTAACCTTACAAAAGAAAAGTTTTTTATTGGTATAAATCAGTTCATGGACTATCATAAGATACTTTCTTGGAAGTGTTACTGATCATCTAGCAATGATCTAGGAATTCTATGTCCTGGGATAGATTTGATATGATTTTATCAAATTTGCATTGCAACAAAAATCACAATTTGACTCTTACTAATAGATAAACGAAATCTTTGAGACGTTATATTTCGGTACGTCCGTAGATGAGTCAATGATAGCATTCAAAGGTCGATTATTGATCAAACAATACAACCCCATGAAACCCATCAAAAGGGGTTATAAGGTATGGGCACTTGCTGGCCACAAAGGTTATATTTTGCGAGTCGATGTGTGACAAGGGAGAAATGGAGCTACGAATGAAGAATGGAAGGACTATGGGTTGGGAGAAAAAGTTGTGTTATCTCTGACCAAAAAGGAATGGGGCAAAAAAAGAGTGATCTACTTCGACAATCACAAATACGTAGGAAAACCAAATATTCTATACCACGTGATATTGGTCTTTCTAATATAGAATCACACTCATTCCACAATCTAGATCTCATTCCAAATGTAGCATATGTCATGTTAAAAACTGTATGGCAAAAGTTTATTAATTATTGACATATATAACATTATTGATAACATATAGCAAATATAATTAATACTTATTATAATAATTTTTTATTAATTATTTTAGATAATGAAAAACCCACCATAGAATTATGTTCAGATCCACCACCTTATTTAACATTCGATAAATCCGGTGCAAACATAACTTGGGATGAACCAAACATTTTCGACAACTCAAGAAATGTTCGAGTCGAGAAATCCCATGATTTTGGTTTCTTCAAAGTTGGAACAACTTCGGTAATTTACAAAGCGATCGATTTATCGAATAACACAAATACATGCGTTTTAAACATCACCGTTGAAGTGGCAGTATGCGACCCCCTTCCAAATCCATTGTTTGGACAATCAAGTTGTACAACTGGCGATAATAAAATGCAATGCGTTATCACTTGCCAAGAAGGATATGCTTTACCAATACCATTACAAAGCGAAAGTATCGATTACGGGGATGTTCAATACGTTTGCAACGAAGATAACCCACCGTGGATGGAAAATAAGATTTTTCCTGAATGCACGAGTAAATTAAAAAAATTAATTAAATTAATTAATTAATAAAAAAAAATCTTTTTAGTAACCGAAATTCCATTGGAATTAATTGATAACGTAACAATTCATATCGAATCGAAAGAAATCGAAGCAATTTGTTCGGATAACAAAAAATTAAGCGAATTAAATAAAAACGTTGCCGTCGATTTAGAAAAATCCCTTAAAGAAGCTTGTAACGACATCGATTGTTTCGTTAAAACCGAATCTGAATGCGAAGAGGTTTCGGAAAAAATTAAAAGGCAAACTCAAGAGACCCAAAAAAGAAAGAAGCCGAAAAGGATTAAAGTCAAATTGCGATTAAACGCGAAAAATAAACCCAATAAAAGGAAGAAATTAAAAAGGATTCGAGATGATTTAAAAAATATTGAATCGTTGAATGGTAATCCTGTTATTGCTATTAGATTTGAAGCTGGAACTATTATTTGTCCCGATGGGTGTGTTGTAAGAAAACAAAAATGTGGTAAGAAATTAAATATAGTAAAACAAGTTGCTCTATTCTATGTTTATAGATAAACTCGGGGTATTCCCCGAGAACTAAGACTATACCTAAAACTAGAATCATTTGGGTTTAGACTTTAGAAGGGTCTAGACTTTCCTTAGCAGTATTTAATTTTCTGCAAGCAGTATCTATCCTTTCCTGTTGGAATCTAGTTCATTACTAACAGTATATAGTCTTCCAGTAGCAGTATTTAGTGTTGTGCAAGCAGTATTTAGTATTTTATAAGAAGTATCTAGTCTTCCATTTGCGGAATTTAATCATCTACAAGCAATATTTAACTTTCTGCATGTATTAAATAATCTTGTATTATGTCTGGTCTTCCATTAGCAATACCTAGCCTTTCTCCTGACGTAGATAGCCCTCCGTAACAAGGATCTAGACTTTCCTTAGCAGTATTTAATTTTCTGCAAGCAGTATCTATCCTTTCCTGTTGGAATCTAGTCCATTACTAACAGTATCTAGTCTTCCAGTAGCAGTATTTAGTGTTGTGCAAGCAGTATTTAATATTTTATAAGAAGTATCTAGTCTTCCATTTGCGGAATTTAATCATCTACAAGCAATATTTAACTTTCTACATGTATTAAATAGTCTTGTATTATGTCTGGTCTTCCATTAGCAATACCTAGCCTTTCTCCTGACGTAGATAGCCCTCCGTAACAAGGATCTAGACTTTCCTTAGCAGTATTTAGTTTTCTGCAAGCAGTATTTATCCTGTTATGTTGGAATCTATTGCATTACCAACAGTATCTACCATATTTGTTGATGCTCAGTTCCAAGTGAGAGATGGAAAAAAACGCCCATCAGCTATCTCTCTTCTGGAACTCTTCACTCTGTTTAATGATGTCGTTAGCCCTTAACTCATACATTCCATCTAAGTTAGCCGATAATGTCACGACTCTAAATTTTGTAGTAACATTTGTCATAGAGTGCGTCACATTATCAATATCCCCACCATCCCCATTTCACAACGTCGTCGATTTCACAAATGTGGCTAATAATTTGAACCTTAATTGACCCATGTCTACCTTGTGAATCGACGATCAGCTTGACACCGCTGGTGATAGTTTGGAATGTCATCTTCGAAGTTGCCCCCAAACATTCTGCAACTGGCCACATGTCCTTGAAAACAGATCGCTAACTGCTGGATGTCACCTTACAACGTTCAGATTTGCTCACCAAGTCACATAGGCAGCAGACGTATTGTTGCTGCTTATCAACTCTTCCTCTTTTAGGAGCTCTTCTATTTGACACCCATTTGATACATATTTCTAAAAATATATACTGTCAGTAGGAATTATTTCCACATTTCGACATTACTGTAGCCCAAAATCAGTAATTTCATCGATATTTTCACTGGTCGCTTTTTAACAAGAGATAACGAAAACAACTGATGTCTGCCATGGTCACGCAATATTTAACTTTCTGCATGTACTAAATAGTCTTATATTGTAAGTATTATGACTTATTTTTCATTATCGGTATCTAGTCTTCTACCAGTAATACCTAATCTTCTGCAAGCAATATTTACCAGTATCTAACCTTCTGTATGTATTAAGTTGTCTTGTATTACAAGTGTTGTGTCGATAATGGTGTTCCATTATCAGTACTTAGTCCTTTTCCAGCTATAGGTAGCCTTCTGCAAGCAGTATCTAGTCTTCCTTTAGTAGTATCTAGTTCTCTGCCAACACTATCTAAACTTCTGCCAACACTATCTCACTTCTGCTAACAGTATCCAGTAATCTGCAAACGCGCAGTCTTTTATTGCCTGTAAAAGTTATCCAGTAGTTATCCGTAGTCTTAAGACGCACTGTATATTATTATTATATTAAATATAATACATTTAATATTAAAAATGACGTTTATTATGACATTATAAATCAAAATTGACGTTTAAGAAGTGTCACATAGACATATCTCCAAAAATAATTAAAAATGTTTTTTTTTAAGTACGATGTCCCCTTGGAACATTTCATAATAAAACGTCTCAAAGTTGCCAAAGTTGTGATTTGGGATCATACAACGATAAGGAAGCACAAACCCAATGTTTTTCATGCCCTGAAAACAAATCAACAAAAAAATTGCATTCAAAATCAATAACAGCTTGTATTGGTTTGTTATAAAAAAATTTATCATTATTATTCTCAAAATAAATCTTTTTCTTCCATAGAAAAATGCCCACCAGGAAAAATTGGCCGTAAAAGAACAATTCGACCGAGAAATTACCCAAATATAACAATAACAAGAGTAACCCTTCCCCCTTATTGCAAATCTTGCCCTCTCGGAACTTATCAATCAAATTACGGTCAACACGAATGTTTAAAATGCCCTCTTGGTTACACGACTAATTCTGTTGGAAGTAAATCGATTTATGATTGCGTTCCATCCGTTGACTTAATATGCACGAATCTTACAATATGTAATCAAGGAAAATGTATCGTTCAAGATAACTTTTATTACTCCTGCGAATGTAATCATTTATTTATCGGGTCGCATTGCGAAACTAAAATTAATACATGTTCGTATTCACCATGTCTTCATGGTGGAATTTGCAAATTAAAATCTGATGGTTTAGAATACTTTTGTTCATGCCCCGAAGGATTTTCAGGTCAAAATTGTGAAATTCCCGAAGAAAAATGCACATTAAAATGCGAAAACGGCGGGACGTGTTTGCATGATGATCAGGATGAGATTTGCGTATGCAAAGATAGATTCACAGGAAAATTATGTAACCAAAAAATATCTGATTATTGCACCAATAGTTTTAAAATTTGCGAAAATAACTCGACTTGCATCAACGAAGGAAATTCAGTTAGATGTATTTGTCAACCCGGTTTTATTGGGAGACGATGTTCTTATCTTCCATGCGATTTTCAACCTTGCCCAAAACAATCAATTTGCGAAAACATTTATGCATCAAATGCAACAAGAAAAAGTTATGTTTGTCAATGTTACGATGGTTTTACCGGAATAAATTGTACGGAAAGGGTCGATCCGTGTTTTAGAAATAAATGCAAAAATAATGGAAAATGTAGAGTTATTGGAAAATCTTACATTTGTGAGTGCCAAAACGATTTTTATGGCGAATTTTGCGATTTTGAAGCTAAGGAGAGATACATTTTAAGTTTTAATAGAGCCGGAGTTACAGATTCAGTACGATTAGGTGGATTCAAAGACAGTCTAAATGAAGTAAGTCAATGAATTAATTAATTTATTAATTAATTATGCCTGGTTTTATTAGATTTCAGTTTGTTCTTGGATTCACACTTTAGATAACTTCAATTATGGAACTGTTTTATCTTACGCCACAAGAGAACATGATAATGCTTTTACAATCACTGATTATGCGGGGTAAAAAATGTATTAATTTGTTTTAATTAATAATAAAGAAATAACTTTTTGCAGGCTTGTTTTTTATATCAACAATAAAACGATTATTAGCGATATAAAACTAAATGATGGATTTTGGCACTATTTCTGCTTTACATGGTCTGGATTAACGGGAACTTATCAGGTTTATGTCGATGGTAAAATTGCTCAAAAAGGAAATGAATTTGCTAAAGGAGAATATTTAGGAGGTAAAATAAAATGCCTAAATTAATCCTTGAATACTCTAATACAAGATTTGCCTTTCAAAAAGATAGTCTCCAAATAATAGAGTTCTGGTCATTAGTTTATTTGCAGCTGCAGTAGTAATAAGATGATTCAGGTTATCAGTGACTATTAAATTGATTCTAGTTGGGTTGGGTCAGGGTTAGCTGTCCGATTCGTAAGGATGGGGTCTATTGGATAACTTTTACTGGTTATACAAGACTGATAGTGTGTACAGAAGACTGGATACTGCTAGCAGGAGTGAGATGATGTTGGCACAAGTTTAGATAGTGTTGTCAGAGAACTAAATACTACTAAAAGAAGACTAGATAATGCCTGCAGAAGGCTACCTACAGCTGGCAAACGACTAGGTACTGATAATGGAAGACCAGACAGAACACTTGTAATACAAGACAACTTAATAGACTTAATAGACTGGATACCTCTTATAAAATAGTAGATACTGCTTGCAGGAAACTAGATACTCCTAAGCGAAGTGTTGGCACTTGTTGCAGAAGACTACCTACTGCTGGAGAAAGACTAGGTACTGATAATGGAAGACCAGACACAACACTTGTAGTACACGACAACTTAATACATACAAACGGTTAAATACTAGTTATAAATGAGTAAATATTGCTTGCAGAAGATTAGGTATTGCTTGTAGAAGACTAGATACTGCTGCAATAGAACAAGATACTGCTTGCAGAGTGCAAAATACTGGTGGAAGAAGATTAGATACTAATAATGGAAAATCAGTCACAACACTTGTAATACAAGCTCATTTAATTAATGCAGAACGTTAAATATTGCTTGTAGATCATTATATTCCGCTAATGGAATACTAGATGTGTTTTATAAAATACTAGATACTTCTTGCAAAACACTATATACTACTGGAAGACTAGATACTGTTGGTAATGGACTAGATTCCAATAGGAAAGGATAGAAACTGCTTGCAGAAAACTAAATACTGCTAAGGGAAGTCTAGACTCTTCTTGCAGAAGGCTACCTACTTCTGGAGAAAGACTAGGTACTCATAATGAAAAATCAGACACAACACTTGTAATATAAGACAACTTAATACATACAGAAGGTTAGATACTGGTTGTAAATGAGTAAATATTGCTTGCAGAAGATTAGGTATTACTTGTAAAAGACTAGATACTGTTGGTAATGGACTAGATTCCAACAGGAAAGCATAGATACTGCTTGCAGAAAACTAAATACTGTTAAGGAAAGTCTAAACCCTTCTTGTAGAAGGCTACCTACTTCTGGAAAAAGACTAGATATTGCTAATGGAAGACCAGACACAACACTTGTAATACAAGACAGCTTAATACATACAGAAGGTTAGATACTGCTTCTAAATGAATAAATATTGCTTGTAGAAAACTAGATATTGCTGCAAGACCAGACGCAACACTTGTAATACAAGACTATTTAATACTTACAGAAAATTAGATACTGGTTGAAGATACATAAATACTGCTAATGGAAGACTAAATACTTCTGATAAAATATACTGCTAGAGGAACACTAAATACTGCTGACAGAAAACTATATGATACTGGAAGACTTGATGCTGTTGGTAATGGACTAAATACTGCTAAAGGAAGATTAGACACTGCTTGCAGAAGGATACGTACTGCTATAAAAGACCTAGGCTTTCATCTTCCCGAGAAGTAGAGTAGAATTTACCCACTGTTTATTCAGAACTCTACCAACAGTATACAAGAACATTTTTAATTATTTTTGGATATATGTCTATGTGACGTTTGAAATGACACTTCTTAAACGTCAATTTTGATTAATTTATAATGTCATATTAAACGTCATTTTCTAATTAATGTTCTTTTAATGTACAATATCAACGTTGACGTTTAAATTGATTAGACTTTTTCATTGAATTAAAACTAGACTAACACTATACCTAAAACTAGAATCATTTGGGTTTAGCCATCTTTAGAGACGTGTGGCTAAACCCAAATGATTCTAGTTTTAAGGAAAGTCTAGACACTTCTTGCAGAACGCTATCTACTTCTGGAAAAGGACTAGGTATTGCTAATGGAAGACCAGACAGAACACTTGTAATACAACACAAGATACTGCTTGCAGATGACTAAATACTGCTAATGGAAGACTAGATACTTCTGATAAAATACTAGGTACTGCTTGAAAAACACTAAATATTGCTGGCAGAAGACTAAATGATACTGGAAGACTTGTTGCTGTTGTTAATGGACTAAATACTGCTAAGGGAAGATTAAATAATGCTTGCATAAGGATACCTATTGCTATATAGCAAAAGTCTAGGTACTGCTAATAAAAGCCCTCATCTTTCCGAATCCGTCCGAGAAGTACAGTAGAATTTACTCGCTGTCTGTTCAGAACTTTACGAACAGAATACAAAAAAAGGGATCTTAGCGCCGTTAGATTGGATTCTGCTAAAATCAAAGTGTAGGACCCAACCCAGAATTTCTCGAGTTATTTTCCTTGATTCGGACATAGCATAGTTTATGATTTATTTTTTTCATCATCGAGGATGTACTCCAAGAAGATATCTTTCTCAGCAACAAGAAATTGGTCTTAAATCGAAATTCCAGACTGGTGTAGACTTACGACTGAAATAACTCTCTAATCACTTCCACATCGAATTGCTGTTTGAGAATACTTCTCTTAAATTCATTTTGATTTTCTAGAACTTATTATTATTCCAGGAAATGGAACAATGATGATTGGTCAAGAACAAGATATAATGGGTGGAAGATTCAGCCAATCCGAAGCATTTCTAGGAAAACTCTCCGAATTTGATATGTGGAGTAGAATCTTAGACATAAAAGAAATCAAATCGATTATGAATTCGTGCAATGGCCAGCCGTTTGGTGACGTTATTTCTTGGCCAATTTTAAAAGATTTCGTTTTCGGCCACGTCCAAGTATTTCGTCTTTATTTGAAATTGAGTCAAAATGAGTTTTGAATTTAATTTTTTAGATTGAATCATCACCATTTTGCCAACAATGCAAACCGCCCAATCCCTTATACAATGGCCACATTGAAATCAAAAATAACACCGCTTTTTACATTTGCAACAAAGGGTACACTTTAAATGAAGAATTGTATTTAAATGGAAGAAAATGTAATAAAGCTACTGAGTGGGAAGATCGAATCGAACCTTTTTGTAGAAGTAAAATTTTTTTTTGATTATATTAATTAATTATTAATTAAATATAATATTTAGCTGTTTATTGTGGTTATCCGGGATATTTACGCCATGGAAGAATTTTAGGAAGGCGTTATTCATATCAAAGCGAAATAAAACATATTTGCAATCCAACTTATTCCTTAATAGGTTCCTCAATAAGGAAATGTACAGATAACGGAACTTGGTCTCCAGAACCTCCAAAATGCGAAGGAAAACGTTGCAAAGCTTTTAAGACTCCAAATAATTCAAAAATTACGATTTTTTCCGATTATAGTGACGAATACATCGAAGGCGTTGATAGTTTCGATATGGGAACATCAATAGAAATTTTATGCGAAAATGGAAGTAAATTAATCGGGGAAAATTATTTAACATGCAATGAAAATGGCCAATGGGATAATGAAATTCCCGAATGCGTTTCGACCAAACCAAAATTACCATGTCCTTTAGACCATATTCCGGCTCCACCTGAAAATGGGTTTATTGTGGAAAAAAGTAAAGAAGAAGCTTTTAATGGCACCGGAAATGTTATTCAATATAAATGTAATGATGGGTTTTTAATGGAAGGTGTTTCAACGTCAACGTGTATTATTGATGGGTATTGGAGTCAACCTAACGTTACTTGTAAAAGTAAGTAAAAAATTTATGATGGAAGCGTTTTAATTTTTTTATTTATATTAGTTGCAGCAAAAAAGTGTCCTAATCCTCCAAAAATTAAAAATAGCAAAATAATGAAAGCTTTCGAGAAGAGCTTTTACGTAGTTGGGGATAACATCACGTTCGAATGTTTACCCGGTTATAAATTACTGGGTAACTCTATCGTTAGATGTATTGACCCTGGAAAATGGACAAGAATTAAACCGAAATGCATCAGTAAGAAAATATTTCACATCTCATTAAAAGTATTAATTTATTTTATTTTAACAGAAATTTCTTGTGGTAAACCAGACGTTGCGGAAAGTACCGAAATTTTAGGAGAGTCCTATTTATTCGATGATACGATAACTTTACTTTGCGGTGATAATAAAAACTATAAGTTAACTTGTGGTAGTTCGGGAAGTTGGATAGGAGATATAAATAATTCTTGTTAAGATATATTTTTATAATATTTAACCTTCGAGCGGGCGCGCCCGATTTTATAACACGAGCGGGCGCCTATCATAAATTTTATGATTTAGGTCCGTATTAATAAGTATTACGTTATTTTTAATAAAACACATTTTGCTAGAGTAAAAATATTTAGTTTATATTAAACAATTGTTAAAAACATAAAATGAAATCGATTAATTTTTGAAATCTAACAACATTTACAAACTACATACCGGGAATTTCATATAAGTCGCAATATATGAATGCAGTGACCATAGTTACGAAACTACTATGCACTTGCACTGTAAAATGCAACATATAGTTCATTTTTTTCTATAATACCTGCCAAATTGTTGTAAAGTTGGCAAAATTAACAGGGAGTTTTGTTTTATCATGTTTTGAAATAAATATGTCACACTGATGTTTCAGTTTTCGTTATTAAAAATGAAAAGGTGCATAAAAAATGTTGTGAAGTGTTGATTTGTCATTTATGTACCTAGAAAAGGTGTTTTGTTCTGTTTAATTACTTTGTAGCACGTTTTTACAACAAATATGTACTTCGTTAAAATCGTATTTATCTAAAAATTTATTAGTATTTTAACCTCAACTATTTAGTTGCTGATAATGTTACTAAAAATCAGGAAAACAACATAAATTTTATAAGGGTCCTAGATACTACCAACAGAAACCCTAAAAAATTTACATTGACAAGTATTATAGCAAAAAAACGAACTATAGCTTAATAGTACAGGCATTGGGTAGTTTTGCAGAGGAAAAATTTTGTTTGGAAAAAAGTGACGTCCTTATGACAGTCTTGAGTTTTCGTCAGTTTTAAGATACGCACGGCTAAACCCGAAGCTTTCTTGTTCTACGTTTAGTGTTAGCTCTAGTTTTACACCAGCACTATCACTAAAACTAACACTAGACCTAGAACTAGAAACATTCGGGTTTAGCCGCACGTCTCTCAAGACGGCTAAATCCGAATGTTTCTAGTTCTAGGTCTTGTGTTAGTTCAAGTGATAGTGCTAGTGCAATACTAGAACTAACACTAGAAACATTCGGATTTAGCCGCACGTCTCTCAAGACTGCTAAATCCGAATGTTTCTATTCTAGGTTTTGTGTTAGTTCAAGTGATAGTGCTAGTTAGAGATGTGTAACACTGCGCTGCGCTACGCAATTGAGTTAACTCAGTACAGTGTGTTACGTGCTCTGATACACAATTTTAAAATAAGTTAACTCAATTGCGCCACCGTTGGCGTAATAAAGCACGACGGTGTGGCTTGAAGATTTACAAATATGTATGTAAATGAAAATTCCAGCCCTTAATCACATATAAAATTTTCATTTGCTAGAACTTGGAACGAGGCAGTAGGCGATACCCAAGGTTTATATATAAGAGGTTGTCTAGGTTCGTACGCAACCATACTGCGCATTACGTCACATGTGGAAAATAATACCGCCAAGCAATTCAAATTAAACAAAGGCATGGAGCACCACATGTCCATGAGGTTGCGTGCGCAATCCGTGATCGCTTACGTCACGAAACACTCCTGCTCTTGCCCCTCGCCCACAAACTAAAATCAAAGTATTGCAGCATAGGAACTTAGACAACCTTTAATATATAAACCTTGGGCGATACCGGCGTAGTTGACCGGCGAGAGATAGATGTGATACGTCCAGCAACTGTGTTATGGCGCAATTGAGTTGATACATTGCGCTAACTCACTTAGGTGCGCTAGTATCAGTGTGTCAGAACAGCAAATTTTGCTGCGTTACACATGAGCTTTGTTCGTTGGGACTGCACTACTCTGCACGACATGGCACTAGTATGACGTACTGTGCAATTAAGTGTAAGTAAGTGTAATGTCTTGTCAATTAAATGCAGGTCAGAAAAGTGTGTAAACCGTGGTCGCAACGAACAGATTTTTATATGTTGAGGTTATGTTAATGTAAAAAAAAAAGATATAACTTTATAATAATATTTTTTTCTTTTTATAATAACTTTATTACAACTTAAGCTGTTAATATACAAACTTCACCAACAGCTTTAATTTTATCTTCTGCACATTTCGAGAAGAATTTGGCCTTAACAATGACGACCTGATTTGGAATTCGTCCTTTGCCTAATAATTTATAATAACCCTAAAAAAACAAATTAATATCTTATTTATAGTCTGTTGTCCATTTATCTATCTACTATCTTGTCCATTTTGTATTGCCTCTACTGGGATTAAATGTACTGTGTTCTCTAATACAACAAATATTAATTATTATAAGGTTTTATTTTTTAATATTTAATATTAATTATTACAAAACACGCTTTCAAATATTCCGCCATTTTCGTTACACTGAATTACACTGCACTTATTGAATTTAATCGAAAGCAGGTGCAACAAAATCTGCACTAACTTGCACCAGCTGCACGAAGTTGCACTGCGCATGGCCCAACGAACAGTATGAGTGCAACTGCACTAAACTACACTATCCCCAACGAACACACAACATCTGCACTAAACTGCTTAGTGTAAGTAGTGCAGTCCCAATGAACAAAGCTATGGTTAGTGCTAGTGCAATACTAGAACTAACATTAGACCTAGAACTAGAAACATTTTATGTGTTTACAATATAGAGTATAAAATAACCCAGTAAACAAGAAACATCTATGAAACTACGTTCATATACCGGACAGATACGATTTTTACGAAACGTATTTAATTAAGCGCCTTTCACACGATCAATACTTCACAATTCGAGCAAGTTATCATTGTTTTTGACCGTTTTTTACATATTATGAATTGCTTACATTTACAGCATTTTGTGTAGTATTGAGTTGGTTATGTTTCGGACGTTTCGCAATCAGCAGCCGTGTAGAACATTTGCAAAAACGCCCGAATATCCTTTGACAGCGTAATTATTTGAGCTCTCATAATTAGTTGCTCTTTCATTAAAGCAATTGCTAAATTACTTAAGAAAATTCTTCGTCGACACTGATTTCCCGCAGAATGTGAAATACAATATCTGAGAGTTTATTCGTTAGGCAACGAACATCTCATCAACCGTATCTGCTGCTCCTTTTGTTTGATTATAACGTAAAATAATTTCGGGTTTATTTGATTCTTCGTCAACTTCCGGTAAGTCGTGCATCGTTGATAATAATATAACGGCTTTGTTTGTTTTTTTGGAACATAAGACACTAATACAGTATCTTTTTGAAAGCCAAATAAAGACGATTGAGGCTGACGATTTTTATTTGGCAAAAATTCCGCAGGATTTTCACGTTCTCTGAGTGACTATCATGTCCACTTTGAGCAATTTTTTCTTCTTCATCGGATATATCGCTGTCATCGATACTTTCCTTAGGTTCCTCTTCCAAAAATCTAACAATCCATCCATGAAATTATCATTTCCTGACATTCTGAATAAAAATAAAGAAATCATAAATTTTCAGCGTTACTTTCGTGTTTTAAAAATAAAAATTTAAAAATATTAACCTACCTTAATTTATTAAGAATAATACAAACAGGTGCGTATGAGTATTTTGTACACAAACTTACTTAATCTCACTAATTTACTTTTTTTTTAATTTTTAAGCCTCTCTGCTAAAGAAAAGTTAATTTATCCGGAAATTACGTCACTCTACCCCTTAAACACAATTAATTATTAATAATAATAATTTATTCCAAGAACTACAGATGATTTTACAAAGCAGATTCTTTTATTGGAATTAATAGTACTATTTTTAAGCCAGAATGTTGTAATTCCAGTAATCATTCATACCTTAGAATGAGATGTTTCTTTTGAATAAGCAGGGACATAGTATTTGTACAATGTTAGAATGTATTGATGTTATGTTGGCATGTGGAATGGACTGTTGAGAAGCAAAACACACCTTTTTCATTACAAAAAGTGGATAAAAAAATGATTATAGAGGTAAATATTTAATCTTGACCAAATTTGTATTAATTAAAATCAAACAAACCTTTATATCTCGTTAACAAATTATTTGTAAACACAATTAACCCAAAAAAACACCATATAAAACCACACCAACCCAAAAAAAATCCTCCTAAACCATTAATAACATCAAAAAAATAATGAAATTTTCATTAACTTTTATATTAGTGACAAAATTTTCAAATTTACCATTAATTTTTGGACTCAATCCCGATTTATTTCTTAAACCCGACTCGAAATTAATCGAAACGTTTAAAAAAATCATCTCAAACAACTTCAAAAATGACACCTTAATGTTTTACGGCTTGAAATGGGAACAAGTTCCGAAGAAGAACGCGGTGATTCTAACTCAAAGTAAAATTCTTTTCAAACAAACGGATGAAATTAATAAATTCAAATGGATCAGCAACAATCAAATGATAAGTGTGGTATTTTTTATTAAAAACGAAACCGACGTGTTGTTCTCGAAAAGATTACTTGCATCGAAATCGTTTTTGAAACGAAACGTTTTGGTGATTTTTAGAAATAAAAAATATTTAAATTCGAGTCAAGATGAAGTTGTGAGTGAATTGGTACGAATTTGTGGGCGAAATGGTTTGTTTAAGATTGCGTTTGGTTATGTTAATGGAAGCAATTTTGAGTTATTTTCTTGGGAGCCGTTTGATGAGAGAAATTTTTGTGGTAAAAATTTTTATTTAAAGAAATTGGATTCTTTTGAGAATGTGTTTAAAGGGAAACGATATAACATGAAAGATTGTTCCTTAAAAATTACTTATGTAAGAGATGAAACTTTAATTACACATGTTAATAGAAAACATCCGGGTATTTTAATTTCTTTGTTTGAATTGATTCATAATTCAACTGGAATTAAGATGTTTTACGAAAATAATTTAAGTTTTCAAATTGAGTACAGAGATAAAGGAATTTTTACTTCTGCGTTAAATTATCTATCTAATGGGAGTACGGATGTGCTTTTAGGGCACCTTTTTATGAACTTATCCCAGGAAAATACACAACCAGGTCCGCAATTATACACGGATGATATTTATTACACAGCGAATAAATCGAAGAAGTTATTGTATCGGAATATAACGAGACCGTTTCATTTTTCAATTTGGGTTGCTATTTTATTGACTTATGTTGTTTTATTTTGGTTAAAAATTAGTTTTAAAAAGTATTATTTAATTAAGATTAATTGTACCCAATCAATTTTTGATATTTTCCGGTTATCTTTAAACATCCCTTTGAATAAGCTGTCAAAGAAAACTCCTTTAAAAGTTTTAATGATGTCTTATATCTTTTATTGCATCATTATGGATGCTATTTATCTCAGTAAATTGAGTAGTGTGTTTACAATACCAAAAGCATTCGTTCCAACAATCGAAACTCTTTATGTTAACGGTATTTATGTGAGTTTAACATCTTATGTTGATAAAATAACCAATTTATGCAACTTAATCACGAATGAAAACGTTAAAAAGTTTATTAAAATCTATAATACAACTCAATATCAACTTTTAAAGAATACAGTTAACGCAAACGTTACTGGGTCGGTTCTTTTTAAGTCAACTTTAAAAACATATCCCGCTGAATCATATTTGGTGCACAGATTTACCACAAAAATGAGAGCTTTGTATTTGTGTTATTATTTAAGAAGATTTAACATCATCAACGAGCCAATTATTTATTGGACAAACGAAGTTTTAGAAAAGGGGTTTTTAACCAAGTGGTGGTCAGATAAAATCTTACACACAACTAATTATACTTTATTAAGAATCAACTTAAAACCAACTTACGTTGCTTTATCTTTGCAGCATTACGAAGAAGCAATTTTTATTTTAATCGTTGGATATGTATCGAGCGCAATTATTTTGTTGTACGAAATAGGATTAAATAAAATTTTGAACCGCATTTATAAAATGAAATATGTAATGCCTTTTTGAACAAATTAAAATTGTTTAAATTTTATTGTTGCGTTATTGATCTAATAAATAATTAATTAATCAAAAAATTTCGGATTTTGAGGTTAAATTAGGGTGAAATATTAATTGTTATCACTTATCTGGTTTTAATTTAGGGTGAAACAAACAATTTGGACCGGAAACTTGGTTGTGTCTGGATCAGGATCCTCTTCTTCTTTACAGGATAGGATGTTATTCAGGAGCTTCTTGGTAACAGGAACAGTTGTTATTATTCAGGATTATTAAATTTAATGTTATGTGTATTTAACTCTCGATCTGGTTTTCTTCCATAAAATTTTGAGGTTATGTTAGAACTTTTTGATAAGTGAGGTTATAAAACCAGTTTTTTTTAACAAAACGACGTGTACGCTAAGACGTTGTTAAATCGACTGCCCCTCCTCCGAAAATTTCACTCTTTATATAGGATTTTCCTGAAACAAATGAAAAACGGTACCTCTGATTGGTTGAAATTTTCGATGGGTCATCCATTTTTTAATTTTACTGTTGTTTTGAGGTTATAAAATCAATTTAATTAAATTCTACTTTATTCCTTTGAATTTCCCCAAATAAAGATTTATTATTCTTTTCTTTCAGAATTGGCCAAAGGATTCGACGAAAATTTCACCCTACGTTATGAATTTTTATGTGAAAACTTTGTAACTTCGAAACGGATTTTCATCAACAAATAAATGTTATCAAGCTCCTAATTATCGTTAAACTAACTAATGAGTACCTTAATTATAATATTTAAGTGGTTTTAAGTCTTTTAATAACAAATTTAAATTATAATTGTCAAATTTAAACGTAAAGTTAGAATTTCAATTGTAAAATTTATTTATTAAAAAAAAATAATAAAAATGTTGTAAAAAATAAAAAAAACGTTAATATAGTTATAAAACTTAATTAATTAATTAAAAAAGAATAAGTATAATAAAAGAATTGTTTAATTTAGGCTAAATGAAGATTAGTTCAAATGATTTTTTTTTGATGTCAGCTGTCAAAGTCATTTTATGGTGGTTATGTAAAAATTAAATACATCAACTTCAAAAAAGTATTATTATTAAAACTGGTCATGGCTTCTTTAATACGGATTACATTCACACGAATGTTAAATAATGCGAAAACATCAAATATGGAAATTATAAGAAATATATCAGGAAAGACGATGCGAGCTACTCTTCCTGCACCCAAACCAAAACCTTACGATTACAACAACAAGAGTTACCCAACGTATAAATTCTTCCTCGATAGAACAACCAGTAGATTCACCGAAAATACAAAGGTAAAATTAAAACGTTAAAACCAAAAATTAAATAATAATTAAGTTATAATTTAGGTGATTGTGGTCGAAGGTCCATTAGCAGCTGGAAAATCAAAATTTGCTAAAGAATTAGCCGATGAATTAGAAATGAAATATTACCCGGAAGCAAATTTAGATATGTGGTACATAAACGATTATGGATTCGACACCCGTACGTTAGACGACCAACTTCCTGAGTCTTGCAAGAGTTTCGACGTAAATAACTTCATGTTGAACCCAAAACACCGTTTATCAGCACAATTTCAAGTAAAACAATACGCGGTGAAGTAAAAATTGCCCTAAAATACCCCAACAAAAAAAATCTAACCTAAAAAAATTTAATTTTAAGGTTTTCCCAATACATTGATGCTTTAGCTCACTTATTAAGCACCGGACAAGGTGTAATTTTAGATCGTTGCGTTTACTCCGACTTTGTTTTTGTTGAAGCGATGTACAGCCAAGGATACATTTCAAAAGGAGCTCGTTCGTTTTATTACGATTTGCGTAAAAGTTCGATTGGGGAATTATTGAGACCTCACTTAATTATTTATTTGGATGTACCTGTTGGTAAAGTATTAGAGAATGTTAAAAATCGTAACATTCCATACGAATGTAACTCTCCCGTTTTAAATGCGCAATATTTAACTACGATGGAGCAATTTTATAAGCAAAAATATCTTAAAGAAATGAGTGTAAGATCGGAATTGCTTGTTTATGATTGGACCAATGAAGGAGAGACCGAGGTTATTGTCGAAGATATTGAAAGAATGAAATTCGAGAATTACGATGATCAAAATCCGAAATTTGAGGATTGGATGGAAGGGAGCGACGAAGCGTGGGCACTTTTAAGGCAAAAATATAGCGATACTAAAGGATCCTTAATGTATTATCTTAATGTCCCGAGATATGATGTTCCTGAATTAATTACAGATGCTGATGATTCTAAGGAATACAGGGATATAATGAATAATGTAAATTTATGTAATTTTATTATCTTAGCGTTGTTTAATGTGTTTAATTTTTTAGGCTCCTGGAAATGAGTATGTTAAGGGTTATAATGCATCTTTGGGAGATGGTAGTTTGTGGTTTAAGACGAAATTACCACATCGTGAAACTTTACCATTACGCGAAAGACGAATTTTTTAAAATTACTAAATTGTTATTGTGTTAATAAAAGTAATTTAAAATAAAAAAGCATTTTTGTATGATTTAAGTCAAGGTTGAGTAAACCTGCTGTTTTTATGAACGTATCCACAAAGGCCTTGCTGTGACGTCATTGGAAGAATTGACATTTCTATGTTTTTATTTATACAGGGTATTTCACTTAAGAAGCAATATACAAAAATATTAAAAAAAAATAAAATTAAAAAGTATAAAGCGAAATATTAACGGTTATAATTTTATTATTGTTAGGTTATCCAACTTGACTCGGTTACCATGGTGATTAAGATCTAAATAATGCAAGTGCTTGTCAAAATTGAAATTGAATTTAAGTTTTTTTTAAGAAAAAAGTCTTATTTAATTGCTTTAAAAGGCTGTATTTAACTCAAAATTGGTTTATCTAGGGTATTATAAACAAGGTAAGTGGATTAAATCAAAAAAATTATTTCTCTTTATTAGAATCGATTTAAATTGACTACAATTAACGAATTTGTTATGAATACCAGATAATCGTAAAGAATTCGAATTGTTTTAAAATTAATAAAAATTGGGTTAGAATTGATAAAAAAGTCGGAATAAAATTTTATTATTTTAAGGTTATCCAACTTGACTCGGTTACCATGGTGATTAAGATCCAAATATTGCAGTTGCTTGTCAAAATTGACGTTGAATTTAAGTTATTTTAATGAAAAACGCGTAATTAATTGGATTTAAAGGTTGTATTTAATTCAAAATTTGTAAATGGATCAAATTATAAGCAAGGTAAGTGGATTAAATCAAAAAAAAAAGTTTTTAGATCAATTAAAATGTAGAAGAATTTAGGGTTAAATAACAATTAAAACTAGAACTAGAACAGTCGGGTTTAGTCGTGAAAAAAACTTTCAGTTGTCAAAGTCAACTTTAATTTTATTATATTCGCAATCTTCATAAAATAACCTTTAAAGTCAGTCCAAACTTGACGCATTTATCTCAAATAACCAGAAAGTTCGAACTTTCAACTTTTAATTTTGACATATTTGTCAACTTCATAAAAAATCCTTTAAAATGAGTCCAAACTCGACATATTTAACTTTAATATTAATGGAAATACAATCACTTCCGGTTTGAAACGTCAACGTCAATTTTGACATATTTGTCATCTTCATTAAAAAACCTTTAAAATGAGTCCAAACATGACGCACTTATCTCAAAAAACAAAAAAGTTAGAATAAAAAACATTAAACCCGAAGTTAGCAACAATGAAGATAGCAATTTAATTTTTAAATATTAATACCAACCTTAATTTTTAATTTTTTTTTATTGTATTTTTGTTTTTGTGATAAATTTTAAAACATTTTATAAAAATTAAAAATTTGTCAAAATGACATGGTCATTTCAAACCGGAAGTTGCTTATATCTCGAGTAATATTGGAATTAAACGTATCATGTTTGGACTCATTTTAAAGGATTTTTCACAACGATTACAAATATGTCAAAATTGACGTTGACATTCTTAACCGGAAGTTGATCATAACTTCATTAATATTGAAGATAAATATGTCGTGTTTGTACTCATTTTAAAGGATTTCTAATGAAGATTACAAATATGTCAAAATTGAGGTTGACATTTTAAATCTGAAGTTAGTTATCATATAATAGACAAATGAACAACTTTATGGTGTTCTTTCATGATGTATTCTTAATTAAAAAATAAGTACCAACCTTAATTTTTTTTTTTATTATATTTTTGTTTTTGTGATTTAAGCATAAATTAATTTAAAAAAACATGACGTTTCATAAAATTGACATTTAATTTTGACAAATTGTTGTGAAGTTGATTACAGTTGGTAACATTGAATTTATAAACATGACGTTTCATAAAATTGACATTTAATTTTGACAATTTGTTGTGAAGTTGGTTACAGTTGGTAACATTGAGTTTATGTCACATAACTTTATTCAAAAAATTATTTAAAAAAATAAATTTACCCAATTCATTATGAAAATTAAATTTTACATGTCTTTCTGATATTATGTAACGTAACTTTTTTTATAACTAATGATGTAATTAATTCCATTACCTACCTACAAATTTATAAATTGACATTTGTCACTAATAGAATAAGTCAAATTTTGAACAAAAATTGCTTTTTCAATTAAATTAGATAAAATTTTGTACTTATTTTGTAATTTGCTTCCGGTTAATTGCTGCTGGATTGTGTTGGAACTATAATATAAATCAATCGGGTTTCCACTAGACGTACAATACAGCAATTATTACGTCACTGAGATTATCCTGCTTTTATTAGAGTTGAGTACCGTTTAATTGCATCGCAATAATGCCACGATGTAACCTTAGTTATCATATTACTTGGTAACAACGATCATAACCAACGTTGTACTTACTACAAAGAGAAAATGATTATGCAAAAATATTGCTTACTATATTGCAGTCAGATTAAGTAACTGATAATGCGTAGAATTAAAATAAAAATCACTTTTTTTGTTGTTTTAAATCTTTTGATTTTTCTGGAAAACATTCCCATTAACTTTTTTCACCTTTTTCGTCATTGTTAAGTACCCTGTAAATGTTTTGAATTGATTTAAGACATTTTGACACACACGAACCTCCTTTACTATTTCCTGGTAACTTTGAAACACTATCAGAAGAGACCACAATAATTTTTTCAACCCAATCATCCGCGTTGAGTATCACCATTCATATTTTGATTCACTCCTATCACCTTTTCCATTAATCTAAATCCTTTGAATTTTTTGGGAAACATCCCCATTAACTTTTTCTCAACCTTGAAAAATTTTTCAAAGACACCAAATTCATTTTTTTCATCCAATCAACTTCTTTTAGTATCTTTGAGTTGTTTCTAAGTGATTAGAAGGAATTTGATTCACACCAATCAGTTTTTCCTATATTTTAAATTCTTTGGGTTTTCAAGAAAACATCCCCATTGCATTTTTTAACTGTTTTCTTCTTTTCCAAGTAATCTGAAATCATTTTCAATTGATTTAAAGTATTTTGACGCATATCAATCAAGGATTCCACTTGCTTACTATCTTTGAAACAATCCCAAATCACACCAAAATCATTTTTTTAATCCAATAAACTTCTTTTAGTATCTTTGAGTTGTTTCTAAGTGATTAGAAGGAATTTGATTCACACCAATCAGCTTTTCCCATATTCTAATCGTTTGGGTTTTCAGGAAAACATTACTATTACATTTTTTATCTTTCTTCACCCTTACCAAGTAATCTGAAATCATTTTCTATTGATTTGAAGTATTTTAACACACACCAATCAAGTTTTTCTCTTTCTTGCTATCTTTGAAACATTCTAAAATACACCAAAATCATTTTTTTTAATCAAATCATCCTTGTTAAGTATCCTCGAGTTGTTTTTAATTAATTAGAAGCTTTTTGATTCACTCCAATCGCCTTTTTCATTATTTCTAAATGCTTTAATTTTTCTGGAAATCATCCCCATTAATTTTTTTTAACTTTTTTCATGTTTTTCAAGTAATCTAAAATCATTTTCAATCGATTTAAAGTATTTTAACACACACCAATCAAGTTTTTCTCTTTCTTACTATCTTTGAAACATTCTAAAATACACCAAAATCATTTTTTTTAATCAAATCATCCTTGTTAAGTATCCTCGAGTTGTTTTTAATTAATTAGAAGCTTTTTGATTCACTCCAATCGCCTTTTTCATTATTTCTAAATGGTTTAATTTTTCTGGAAAACATCCCCATTAATTTTTTTTAACTTTTTTCATGTTTTTCAAGTAATCTAAAATCATTTTCAATCGATTTAAAGTATTTTAACACACACCAATCAAGTTTTTCTCTTTCTTACTATCTTTGAAACATTCTAAAATACACCAAAATCATTTTTTTTATCAAATCATCCTTGTTAAGTATCCTCGAGTTATTTTTAATTAATTAGAAGATTTTTGATTCACTCCAATCGCTTTTTTCATTACTTCTAAATGCTTTAATTTTTCTGGAAAACATCCCCATTAATTTTTTTTAACTTTTTTCATCTTTTCCAAGTAATCTAAAATCATTTTCAATTGATTTAAAGTATTTTAACACACACCAATCAAGTTTTTCTCTTTCTTACTATCTTTGAAATATTCCCAAAATACACCAAAATCATTCTTTTTAATCAAATCATCCTTGTTAAGTATCCTCGAGTTGTTTTTAATTAATTAGAAGCTTTTTGATTCACTCCAATCACCTTTTTCATTATTTCTAAATGGTTTAATTTTTCTGGAAAACATCCCCATTAAGTTTTTTTAACTTTTTTCATCTTTTCCAAGTAATCTAAAATCATTTTTAATCGATTCAAAGCATTTTGACACACACTAATCACTTCTTTCTATTTCACCATAACCTTGAAACATTTTCTAAAGACTAAAAAATTTTTTTTAATAAAACCACACCAAAATTTTAAATCTTTTAGTTATCATAGAAGTAAATACAACATTAATTATCGCCTAAAAGTTCTTCTAAAGCCTCATTTAAAACATTTAATTGAAAAAATAAGTCATCTAATCTTTTTAATGTTCTTGTATCTGTAATGTTTTCTTCGAAATCATTCCACGAATCCTTTTTTTCTTCCCCAATGTCTTCGTTTCCTTTAAAAGTTAGCATCCTATCAACAATTATTTCCATTACAGCTAATCGGTTATTAGAAATAAAATGTTTCTTTCCTCGCCTACAATCTTTGTAATAAACAATTTCGATTGAATCGTTCCTTTTCATGTAACTTTCGCATATTCCCAACATAACTGAAACATCGACGTGGTTAAGGGGCCGATTTTCTTTCAAGAATTTCGTGAACAAGTATCCAAAAACGATGAAACGGATCGCTTCAATTCTAGATTCGCGAATTACAAAGCTTCCACAAAATCTTTTATTATTCGCTCGGATATAAACTTTTTTGCACCCCCCACCAGGTAATCTTAATTTTTTAATGTTCCTTTTTGAGTATTTTCCATAAAACATCGCTTTATCGATCAAATAGTCCCAAGTTGAGTAGTTATTGCACCTCCATAACTTCGCTTTCTCTTTTTCTTTGAAGTAATTCGCAAGAAAATAAGAGACGTAAAAGGAAAACAATAAAAAGAGGGATAACGCGTATAAAAAGGTGTAATAAGGGAGTGATTTTGAGCACCCCATGATTTCGTACGAATTCATTTCGCGCAAATGTTTCAAAATTAACACGTTTTTCATTATTTCATTGATTGAGGCGAAATTTTTTGAGTACAAAATGTAACTTGTTAAAGAAAAAGTAATGGTGAATAAGAAATGGATGAAGAGATAATTCAAAAATTTTTTTGAAAAAGTTAATTTTACGCAAACCTCTATTGGCACAAATTTTAAATAAAAAATTAATCCAAAAATTAAAATCGAAATCAATAAGCTCATCAAAACCCGGTAATTTTGAGTTGAATGAAACGTTTCGTAACTCATAAAATCGTCGTCAATTTCGAAAATTATCTCAGAATCATAACTTTGTAACTCATAAAACACAAAAGCCCCAATTGTTGCGAACACAACAACAAAATCTAACATTTTAAGACGTTTCCAAATCGTTTTTGTAATAACCATATTTCGCGTTGTGATAATAATATAAATTAAAACGATCAAAATCAAAAAATAAACCGAAATTTTCATAAAAAGGATTTGTTTAACTTCTCTGTAATTTAAACTGTTCGAAATGATTCGAATCGAAGGAATTGTTAAACCAGTTGGGCTCCTTTCAATAATTATTTTTATATCGCTAAATAAATTAACGTTGTTGTTATAGGTGAAAAATTCGATAAAAATTGCTCGTGTAAAAGATTCCATCCACCATTCTTTCCCTTTTTGTTTAATTAAATTTGTATCCGTTTCATTTACGTTTAAAGAAGTCATAAATCCTCCTCCAGGGTAAGTATTTAAATCCCCCGAATAACTTTTGCGTTTACTATCATTTGAGAAAAAGTAACTCGAATTAGATTGATTCAAATTTTTGATTTTTTCAAAATAAATTGAGTACTCGGGATAAATTTTTGTGACGTTAAATTTTTTCGAAACATTACTCGCCTTTCTACCTCGCACAATTATTACCCTAATCGTTGGAGATCCAAGATATTTCGTATTAAAATCTGTTATAAGATGATTATCAACAACTTCGAACTCGCCATACCAAATTTTTGATTGCAAAGTATTCATTAAAACGTAAATGTAACTTTGAAAGCTAAAAATTAAAATGATTAACTTGATTTATGTAATTATAAATCAATTATTACTCTTTTAAGGTGTTTATATCCAAGAAATTTCTTCCGTTGTTATTATTAATTAAACTCGTTAAATGCTCATTATGTTTTTGGATTAAATCATTTCGATTTGAGGTTATTATTAAATGTAGGAGAAAAACGCATGTTATTAAAAAGAGGATGTAACGAAATGAGTTTTCGATTGTTGTTAATCTTGCAATGAAACATCTTTTAAACTGGAAAGAAAAATTTGATTTTTTGTAATAAAAAATATTTATGTTACCGTTATAACATCGACTCCTAAAGGTTTATAGAGATGTAAAAGATATGGGCGGAGATTGGAAATATCGTCAAATATTCTTGATATCATTGCTCGTTGTTGTTCTCCTTCAGAAATGATTCGATTGTAAAAATACCATTTTTTTATTTCCTTAAATCGTTTTTTCTTTTTTTTAATTATTCTTTTTAATCAAAATAGATGTTGGAAAATGAAAGAAAATTAAAAATGCTTTAAAATGAGTCCAAACTCGATATATTTATCTTTAATTGTTGCTGAGATATCAATTAAATTAAAAAAAATTTGACAGTTGACAATTCTTAACCTAACTTTTTTTTTAATTTTTAACGAAAATTTGTCGAGTTTGGTATTAAATTAAAGGATTTTTAATTATCTTTAAGATTACGCTTTTTTATGTCCTTAAATCGTTAGTTTTATTAATCAATTTTTTGTTATAAAAATAGATGCTGAGAAATGAAAGAAAATTAAAAATACTTTAAAATGAGTCCAAACTCGGCGTATTTATCTTTATTTGTTGCTGAGATATCAATTAAATTAAAAAAATTTGACAGTTGACAGTTCTTAACCTAACTTTTTTTATTTTTAACGGAAATATGTCGAGTTTGGTATTAAATTAAAGGATTTTTAATGATATTTAAGATTACGTTTTTTTTATGTTTTTAAATCGTTGGTTTCATAAATAATTTTTTTAAAATCAAAATAGATGCTAGGAAATGAAAGAAAATTAAAAATGCTTCAAAATGAGTCCAAACTCGATGTATTTATCTTTATTTGTTGCTGAGATATCAATTAAATTAAAAGAAATTTGACAGTTGACAGCTCTTAACCTAAATTTTTTAATTTTTAACGGAAATTGTCGAGTTTGGTATTAAATTAAAGGATTTTTAATGATCTTTAAGATTACGTTTTTTATGTCCTAAAATTGTTAGTTTTATTAATCTTTTTTCTTTAAATCAAAATAGGTGCTGGGAAATGAAAGAAAATTAAAAATGCTTCAAAATGAGTCCAAACTCGGCGTATTTATCTTTATTTGTTGCTGAGATAAATAATAATAGATAAAATAAAAAAAAATTTGACAGTTGACAGATCTGAACCTAACTTTTTTGATTTTTAACGGAAATATGTCGAGTTTGGTGTTAAATTAAAGGATTTTTAATGATCTTTATGATTATGTTGTTATTTTCAATGAATTTTAATAAAAAAAAATTTCGGTAAATCTTTAAGGAAGAAAGTAATAGAAATTACGTTTTTCTGTACGAAATTCAATAAGATATCAGCAAATAATTTGAATCGACTCCAAACACGACCCATTTATCTCAAATTATTTCCAAGATAGACAGTTTTAGTAAAAAATTGATTTTTCGTTTGACATTTGACAGTTCTTAACCTAACCTTTTTGATTTTTAACGGAAATACGTCATGTTTGGTATTAAATTAAAGGATTTTTAATGATCTTTATGATTACGTAGTTATTTTCAATAAATTTTAATAAAAGAAATTTTTGGAAAATCTTTGGGGTATTAAATAATAGAAATTACATTTTTCTGCACGAAATTCGATAAGATATCAGCAAATAATTTGAATCGATTCCAAACACGACGTATTTATCTCAAATTATTTCGAAGATAGACAGTTTTATTAAAAAATTGATTTTTCGTTTGACATTTGACAGTTTTTAACCTAACTTTTTTTATTTTTAACGGAAATATGTCATGTTTGGTATTAAATTAAAGGATTTTTAATGATCTTTATGATTACGTAGTTATTTTCAATAAATTTTAATAAAAGAAATTTTTTAAAATCTTTGAGGTATTAAATAATAAAAATTATATTTTTCTGCACGAAATTCGATAAGATATCAGCAAATAATTTGAATCGACTCCAAACACGACCTATTTATCTCAAATCGTTTCCAAGATAGACAGTTTTAATAAAAAATTGATTTTTCGTTTGACATTTGACAGTTTTTAACCTAACTTTTTTGATAGAAATATGTCGAGTTTGGTATTAAATTAAAGGATTTTTAATGATCTTTATGATTACGTAGTTATTTTCAATAAATTTTTATAAAAAAAATTTTGAAAAATCTTTGAGGTATTAAATAATAAAAATTACATTTTTCTGTACGAAATTCAATAAGATACCAACAAATACGTTGAATCGACTCCAAACACGACCTATTTATCTCAAATTATTTCCAAAATAGACAGTTTTATTAAAAAATTTATTTTTCGTTTGACATTTGACAGGTTTTAACCTAACTTTTTTTATTTTTAACGGAAATATGTCATGTTTGGTATTAAATTAAAGGATTTTTAATGATCTTTATGATTATGTAGTTATTTTCAATAAATTTTAATAAAAGAAATTTTTGGAAATGTTTGAGGTATTAAATAATAAAAATTAAATTTTTCTGCACGAAATTCAACAACATATTAGCAAATTATTTGAAACGACTCCAAACACGACCTATTTATCTCAAATTGTTTCTTAGATAGACAGTTTTAATAAAAAATTGATTTTTCATTTGACATTTGACAGATTTTATCCTAACTTTTTTGATTTTTAACGGAAATATGTCATATTTGGTATTAAATTAAAGGATTTTTAATGATCTTTATGATTACGTCGTTATTTTCAATACATTTTAATAAAAGAAAATTTTGGGAAATCTTTCAGGTATTAAATAATAAAAAATACATTTTTCTGCACGAAATTCGATAAAATATCAGCAAATAATATAAATCGACTCCAAACACGACCTATTTATCTCAAATTATTTCCAAGATAGACAGTTTTATTAAAAAATTGATTTTTCGTTTGACATTTGACAGTTTCAACCTAACTTTTTGATTTTTATCAGAAATATGTCATGTTTGGTATTAAATTAAAGGATTTTTAATGATCTTTATGATTACGTAGTTATTTTCAATAAATTTTAATAAAAAAAATTTTTCGGAAAAATCTTTGAGGAAGTAAATAGTAAAAATTACATTTTTCTGCACGAAATTCAATAAGATACCAACAAATAGTTTGAATCGACTCCAAACACGACCTATTTATCTCAAATCGTTTCCAAGATACAGTTTTAATAAAAAAATTGATTTTTCGTTTGACATTTGACAGTTTTTAACCTAACTTTTTTGATTTTCATCGGAAATATATCGAGTTTGGTATTAAATTAAAGGATTTTTAATGATCTTTATGATTACGCTGTTATTTTCAAAAAATTTTAATAAAAAAAATTTTTCGTTTAACATTTGACAGTTTTTAACCTAACTTTTTTAATTTTTCACCAAAATATATCGTGTTTGGTATCAAATTAAAGCATTTTTCATTTTCTTTCCAAATTTTCCACTTTCTTTGACATTAAAGTTAAATTAAAACCTCCACAATTTATTTACCTTCCTTTTTAAGTTCGCAATTTTAATCAACGTTATTAATAAGAACTCCCAAATAAAAATAATCCATAATATCGACATAAAAATTAATCCATAAATTATTAACGAGTTCTCAAATGAAATGTGTAGGCTATATATGAAAACATTTAAAACGTTTCCTACGATTCCAATTTCTAATAAAATCCTGAATAAGGAAAGGAAATATTATTTGGTTTTTTTAAATAAATCAGGAACTTTCCATGTTATAAATCTGAATTTTTTTGAAAAAACGTTGGGTTGGTGCACGTAAAGTTCTCTTCTCGTTAAGCTAGATAATCGAAATGTTAAGATAAACGGTAAATTAACTAGATAAGTTATCGCTGATGATTGGAAAGTGGTACTCGTTATGAACCCAATGTTAATGTTCTCTAATTTTCTTGGAGCAGTGTTGATACAAATTATTATTGTTAAGGAACAAATCCAAATGATTTGTGAACAAATTATTGTTAATTTTTCTGTGCAAGTATAAAATCTAGAACTAAAACAACTTGATTACTTAAAATCATTTAAAAAAAATTACCTTGAATGCCAAAAATTCCAAGTATGTTGTGCGTTAAAAGATGGCAATAATAATCTACATCGGATCTTCTTTTTTAAACTACTTGGTGTAGCCCACACTTTTAAGCAATAATGATTCTTTTTATCGATAGTTAACCAATTATTAACAATAAACAACCACCAATGTTTAGTTTGGAGGTCGCAAATTCGAATTTGATCGCAATTCCTTAAAATAAAATGAAATTTAATTAATAAAAAATAATTTTATTTACCATTTTGGTTCAATTGAAATAAAATCGATCCATAATTGAATAAAAATTAATTCCCCAAGATGTTTTTCTGTTGTTACAATAAAATAATCTTCACCATTATATCTCAACAATCTTAAATCGGGATCGGGATAATTAACAACGTGGGCTCGACTAATTCCTGTTGATCCAAATATTTTAATCGTTACGTTTGAAGTTGTTCCCGAACCACTTTCCATCCCCGTTTTTATTTCTAATAAATAAGCGAATCTATCATCTTTGTGGTTATCACTTAAAAAATAAATGCATTGCTACAAAAAAAGTGTTCAATTGATTAATTTTTTTTTATATCAATAAATTATTACGGGAAACAAATTTTTGTGCGATAAAATCCATAACAAACAATATAAACAAAGAGTGACCAAAACTGGGATGTAAAGCAATAAATTTATGTCTAAATTGTTTGTATCATCGAGTTTAAATTGGAGATTATTTATTGTTTTATTGTTATACGATGTGTTTTGATTCGTCGAGGAAATTAACTTACTTTTTACGTTCAAAATCGACATAAATGTTTCGACATTGACTTAACTAATTTTTTTTTAACAAACATTTTCAAAGCAACCAATTTTATTTTATTTAAATTTTTAACGACTTATAACATTAAAAAAGTTTTTTAATAGACCACCTAGATATTTAAATAATGCTGATGTAGTAGTACACGTGGTAAAGTGTACTTGTATCGTTATAAACCACGTGGAAGCTTCTGAAGGGTCATTGTTGTATTCATCGTTCTCTCTACATCCACAATCTTGTGACGGTAAAGGACAGTTTTAAGTATCATTTTTAAGGATCACTTTTACCGAAAGGAAAAAGAATCGAAAATTCAAATTCGGGTAACGTTTCGGTGATTTGGAGGCATCTCGATATTTCTCAGTAACGAATGTAGTTTATTGTAATTATTTCTCTGAAAATTGAAACCGGAGTAATGAGAAACGTTCGCGATTCGAGCGGATTTCGTGATGAAACGCGCGCATATTCTGCGACACCGTGATATATATTCGACGTCTTTCAAAATTTTCAGTCCAATTTAACCGGCGCCAGAGTCAATATCTGCAGGAATTGTATCAATTTGTCTATTTTATTCTTTTTTAAGTGAAAAGTTAGGATAAAAATTTAAAAATAAGATGGGGTTAAATGCAGAATTAAAAAATTAAGGTAAGATTTAAAAAATAATTGTAAAAAAGTTTTCTGAATTTGAAACACTCAATATGTATGATTTTTTAACAACTTTGCAATATTTATTTATATCTGTTTTATTATTTAGAGTTACTATCGATATTAATAATTCATCGTTTCGAGATTTAAAAAATTGTTATTAAAAAAAACGTTCATCTGGGAATTTTCACAAATCTAAAGAAACCTTTATAATCTCAAAAAATTAGTAAACAATTTTATTTACCATTTACATCACCAGATGTGTCAAATAAATAAGTGATTTTTAAAATTTTATATTAAATAAAGTGGTCATCTCAGAATCTTATAACTTCCTATAACTCAACATGCAACGTTAATTTATAACCTCAAAAAATTTCGTTTCTTAATTTCTAACCGTTTTGGAAATATCTTCAAAACACTTTCAAAAAATGTCAAAGTAAATCGATGATTTTTAAAAATCGATATAAAATTAATTCTTTATTTTGGAAACTTAAAATTTGGTGTAACATAACCTTCAACATTCCTTTATAACCTCAAAAAGTTTCGCTTCATCAATCTTAACCAAATTATTGAAGAAAATAATTTTTTTATCTTCAATGTCATTTTTACAAACGTCAAATTATTCGGTGATTCTGTAATTTTATAAAAAATAAAGTAATCGTTCTGTAAGGTTATAATTTGTTATAACTCAGCCTCAAACGTTCCTTAATAACCTCAAAAAGTTTCATTTCTTAATTCCTAACCGTTTTGGAAAAACATTATTTTTTGTATTAACCTCACTTTCAAAAAACGTCAAAGTAAATCGATGATTTTTAAAAATCAATATAAAATTAATTCTTTATCTTGGAAATTTAAAATTTGATGTAATCTTACATCAGATGTTCCTTTATAACCTCAAAAAGTTTCATTTCTTATTTCCTTACCATTTTCGAGAAAAAAAACGTTTTTATCTTTAACCCCATTTTTACAAATGTCAAATTAGTATTTAAAAATTGCATATAAAATAAAATAATCATTCTATAAGGTTATAATTTGTTATAACCCAACCTCAAACGTTCCTTTATAACCTTAAAAAGTTTCACTTCTTAGTTTCTAACCGTTTTGGAAAAACATTATTTTTTGCATTAACCTCACTATCAAAAAGCGTCAAAGTAAATCGATGATTTTTAAAAATCGATATAAAATTAATTCTTTATCTTGGAAATTTAAAATTTGGTGTAACTTTACCTCAAATGTTACTTTATAACCTCAAAAAGTTTCATTCCTTATTTCCTAATTGTTTTTGAGAAAACAACGCTTTTATCTTTAACCCCATTTTTGAAAATGTCAAATTAGTATTTTTAAAATTGTATATAAAATAAAATAATCATTCTATAAGGTTATAATTTGCTATAACCCCACCTCAAACGTTCCTTAATAACCTCAAAAAGTTTCACTTCTTAATTTCTAAGCGTTTTGGAAAAATATAATTTTTTGCATTAACCTCACTTTCAAGAAACGTCAAAGTAAATCGATGATTTAAAAATCAATATAAAATTAATTCTTTATATTGGAAACTTAAAATTTGGTGTAACCTCACCTTAAATGTTCCTTTATAACCTCAAAAAGTTTCATTTCTTATTTCCTAATCGTTTTGGAGAAAACAACGTTTTTATCTTTAACCCCATTTTTGCAAATGTCAAATTAGTATTTTTAAAATTGTATATAAAATAAAGTAATCATTCTGTAGGGTTATAATTTGTTATAACCCAACCTCAAACGTTCCTTAATAACCTCAAAAAGTTTCACTTCTTAATTTCTAACCGTTTTGGAAAAATATTATTTTTTGCATTAACCTCACTTTCAAGAAACGTCAAAGTAAATCGATGATTTTTTAAAATCGATATAAAATTAATTCTTTATCTTGGAAATTTAAAATTTGGTGTAATCTTACATCAAATGTTACTTTATAACCTCAAAAACTTTCATTTCTTATTTCCTTACCGTTTTGGAGAAAACAACGATTTTATCTTTAACCCCATTTTTACAAATGTCAAATTAGTATTTTTAAAATTGTATATAAAATAAAATAATCATTCTGTAAGGTTATAATTTGTTATAACCCAACCTCAAACGTTCCTTAATAACCTCAAAAAGTTTCACTTCTTAATTTCTAACCGTTTTGGAAAAACATTATTTTTTGCATTAACCTCACTTTCAAGAAACGTCAAAGTAAATCGATGATTTTTAAAAATCGATATAAAATTAATTCTTTATCTTGGAAACTTAAAATTTGGTGTAACTTTACCTCAAATGTTACTTTATAACCTCAAAAAGTTTCATTTCTTATTCCCTAATCGTTTTGGAGAAAAAAACGTTTTTATCTTTAACCCCATTTTTGCAATTACCAAATTAAATAGGTATTTTCAAAATGTTATATAAAATAAAGTAATCATTCTGTAACGTTATAATTTGGTATAACCCAACCTCAAACGTTCCTTTATAACCTCAAAAAGTTTCACTTATTAATTTCTAACCGTTTTGGAAAAACATTATTTTTTGTATTAACCTCACTTTCAAGAAACGTCAAAGTAAATCGATGATTTTTAAAAATCAATATAAAATTAATTCTTTATCTTGGAAACTTAAAATTTGGTGTAACACCACCTCAAATGTTACTTTATAACCTCAAAAAGTTTTATTTCTCAATTCTTATCCGTTTTGGAGAAAACTGTATTTGTCAATAACCCAAATTACGCTAAAGTATCGTATATTAATCTAAATATTTTTATTTATTATTATTTAGATGGTTTAATTTTTACTATTAAGAAAAAAATCACAAATTACTTATTAAACAAACAGGTATCATTTTATCATTTCAGAAACAATTATCATCGTCGTCTTGTTCGTGTTTTAAATGACACAAACATTCGGGATTATCACATTGTTGTAATCTTGTGTCAGAATCGTGTTCATAATCCATATTATAGGGCACATCATCTACAAAAACAAAAATTTTTTATAAAAATAATCAAAAATTAACTCAACATTTTCACCTTGTTGTTCTTGATCTTGATCGCCATCCCGTTTCTCATTTTCCTTTTTGGTTTCGTTCGATTTATTATCATTTTGATTGTTAACTTCTCCACTACAACGATTAGTATCCGGATCAACCGGCTCGGGAGAACCACGTTTTTGAGTATCCTTATTCGGCTTGCGCAATTTCCGCTCAATTTTGATGTGTTGCGATGGTTTTTTCGATTTCGAACGTGGCTTATCGATTTTTTTAAATTTACTAGCGTTATAAACTTTTCGTTTCGTCCGACCTTGAATTTTTATTTCCGATCCTGGTTCATCCGGCGTTTGAGATGTACTTCGAGATTTCTTGTCGCTTTGCATCCCGCTTGTTTCGGAACTTTTATTTGAAAGGTCGTGTCTTGGGCATGGTTTTCTACGTCTTCTATATCTTCGTCGTCTATTTGGGGTTCTACATCTTCTTGGTTTTGGGGGTATGCATTTGTTATCGCATCTTCGTTTTCTTCTGCCGCATGTTTGGTCTTGAGGGGGCGATTTTTTTCGGTCTTTATCGTCGACGTCGTTTGTTGCGTTTGTTAGGTTGTTACCGAATGTTAATTTATATTTACCGGCTTTATGTTCAAGAACGCCACTGTTGATGCCGTGACGGAGAGCTTTTTGAACTTGCATTGCGATATTTTTCGATCTACATATTTGATTTTTTCCGAGATGCGTTTGAATTTGATCTATAATCGTTTTTATGTTTGATCCTCTTATATCGCGAAGATCTAAAATCGCTTGAAGAACGTCCGCGAAGATTCGCGGATGGTGAATCGCCCGGCGTTTTTTAACATACATTTTTGGGTGAAATCCTTTCGATATGATTATTTTAGCTTCTCTTTTTGATTTAACGTAAAATCACATTGTTTAGGAGGTTTAACATTTTATCTTTCAATTTTGACAAATCAATAAAAAATTTTGTTCTCCAAGAATATATGATTATGAAAATTAATACCTCAATTTTTGGTTTGTAGATGATGAGAGTGTTGGAGGGATGATTTGTAATGTTGCACCTAAAGATTCTTTAATGTTTCATCTGCGGATAATATCCGTGGGTGTTTTATATTTTTTAAATGGATCGGATGGGTTGCGAAATAACCCACAACACAATAACCACAAAAATATTTCTATCCTTCTTGATAACTTGTTAAGGGGTTACGATAATAGTATTAGGCCAAACTTTGGGGGTTCCCCCGCTATAATTGAGGTAGATATAATGGTGCGAAGTATGGGACCAATTTCGGAGATTGATATGGTAAAAAATTTTAATGTATGCAAATAGATCAAGTGCATGAATATTTAGTCATCCTGAAAAATAATGAGTGCTTAAAGCTTAAAAACAAGTTTATGGGTTAACTTTTTTTTAGACATACTCCATGGATTGTTATTTTCGCCAATCTTGGATTGATAGAAGATTAGCCTTCACCGGTGGCGACAAAGATACCTTAGCTTTAAGTATTTCAATGCTCGCTAGAATTTGGAAGCCGGATACCTACTTTTACAACGGCAAACAGTCGTATTTGCACACCATCACGACCCCAAATAAGTTCGTTCGACTTTATCGAGACGGACGTGTTCTTTACTCATCCAGGTAAAAGCAAATTTTTTTTATTTATTCTCCATTCAACCTTATTTTTATTTATCCGTGTTAAATTAACCTTATCTTAATATTCGGAACGTTCCTAACGACCGTGTAAGGGAAATTAGAAATGAGACGAGATTGATTTCCAATCGTGTTCATTTGAAAATTAGCAAGTATCATTACTTTACCCCTAAATTCAGGTTATAAACCTTGTAATTAAACCGGGTAAGGTCCACTCCAACCCTTCATTACCATTGAAAAGAGCCTACCTCAACTAACTTTCCTATTTTCTCTTAACTAATACAGGCTCACTATTAAAGCTGGGTGTTTAATGAATCTCGAAGATTTTCCTATGGATATTCAACGATGTCCCTTAAGATTTGGATCATGTAATTATTAAAACTTTATTAATGTGATTTCTTTTTGTACTTCTCAATGATTATATAAAAATTTAATTAATCTAGGGATATTTAGTACACTTCCACACAGGCCAGCAGACGTTTCGGGAACTTTAGACATTTTAGACTTTAACCATGCTCTCAAGAATCGACCACACGGAGAAGTCGTCATGTCTGAAAAATTGGTCCAACACCAGTTCAAGTTGTTGTTCTAGATTGTTCTAGAGTTGTTCTACATTGTTCCAAAGTGGCAAATAGAAAAAATATAAACTCGGCGAGAACAACCGAGCCCCTCATTTTTGGAAAAATTAAATTTTCTTTGTTATTGTAGTTATTGTTCTAGAAAATCAAAATTATGGGATACATCATTACGAAGTTATAACTAAAAATAGGTTTGGCTGCCAAAATGTCTAGTTAATTGCTGCGACCATAGTTTTTCTATTTTCAATTCTATATTACAAATATATTGGTCGTTCTTAGAAGGGCTAAAAAAGTGTCCCTCTAATATCAAATCTTATATACTGAGATAAGTACATTCATTCGAGCAAAAAGCTATATGGCGAGACTCACTCTATCACTTCATTAAGTTACATTAAAGTAACAAATATTTTATGTACAGGGTGGTTCAAATTCGATGTCCGAATAGGCTCACTCGGAAACTATAAGAGTTAGAAAAAAAATAGCTTACATGTCATGATCTCGATTTTCGAGAAACTGCTAATGCCGAAAACCTCATAGCGCTACCATCTTTTGTTTTTCCCCTAGAGGCCAAAATTGAAAATATCGTAAAACCAATAAGTGCAATTATCTTGGTTATTATTATAGGTGGAGTATTATAACTACGACATTATATGGACACTTTTTTACAGAGAATTTCATGACATAGTCAAAAAAAATTTTTCGGTTTTAGATTTTGAGATATCATGAGAATTTTCGTTTTTTTAAATGGAAACAACCACTGATTATTCGCTTATTAAATTCGTTATTTTTTTCTGATTACAAAAATATAGGGTTCGACAGGTCTATTTCTTATTGTTTTAGAATAAAGCTAAAAATAAACTTTTTTTATAAAATTTCCATCTAGTGTCGTCGAGGAAATTAAATTTACAGTTTCCTGTAAGTTACGGGGCGGTAGGTAAAATCTAAAAAGTTAACAATTAAATACGAAGATAACTTCTGGTATTTAAAAACAAATAATTTTTTAATATGTAACATTCTAACATGTCAAACTTTTCAAAATTTTCGTAATTGATCTTAAAAACAGGATTTTTAAAGTGACACTTCAGAAAATTTTTGAATACAAACAAATGTTGCTATGTTTATTTGAATTAAAAAAAAAAAAATGAGCGCCATCTATCGATAATTTATTAAGTCATTTAAAAATAATATTAAATCGTAATAAAAAATGTGAAATAATGCAATCTATTCCAACTTTTGTGTAAAACATATATAAATTAAACAGTTCAACAAATATATTTGTTTCAAATATCAGAAATATGTTTTTTTAATTTTTAGTTATAGAACCGTAATTTACAGGAAACTGTAAATTTAATTTCTTCGACGACACTAAAAGAAAAGTTTATTTTTAGTTTTATTCTAAAACAATAAGAAATAGACCTGTCAAACCCTATATTTTTGTAATCAGAAAAAAATAACGAATTTATTAAGCGAATAATCAGTGGTTGTTTCCATTTAAAAAAACGAAAATTGTGATAATATCTCAAAATCTAAAACCGACAAAATTTTTTTGACTACGTCATCAAATTCTCTGTAAAAAAGTGTCCATATAATGTCTTAGTTATAATACTCCACCTATAATAATAACCAAGATAATTACATTTGCGGGTTTTACGATATTTTCAATTTTGGCCTCTAGCGGAAAAACAAAAGACGATAGCGCTATGAGGTTTTCGGCATTAGCAGTTTCTCGAAAAACGAGATCATGACATGTCAGCTACTTTTCTTCTAACTCTTATAGTTTTCGAGTTAGCCTATTCGGACATCGAATTTGAACCACCCTGTACACAAAATTCAAAAATTTTTAAAAGTTGGTTCGCACTTCATTAAACGTTCAGGTGTCCCTCTGGTAAAATTGCAACTAAAACTATTTCTAAATCGGAAATAAAATAGTATTATATGATTTTATTACTGTCTTTTATACAGGGTGTATCTGAATGACGTGTCCAAACTTCAGGGGGTGATTCTTTAGTGAATTTTAAGGGTACTTTAATATATAAACCCATAATAAAGTACAAATAGGGTCAAGACGTGCCCTATTATGAGTTAAACATATTCCCCAAATTCCATTTTCCTAGCGTTTATGGTTTTTGAGAAAAAAAAATTAAACCAAAATTTTTCGCCATTTTTGAAGGGGCGTAGCTCCGCAGGGGAGTAGAAATCGCTCATAGTTTATATAAGAAAGTATAACTTTTAAGTATACCTTAAAATTGCCAAAAAGAATCACCCCCTGAAGTTTGGGCAAGTCATTCAGATACACCCTGTATATGGGGTAATTAACAAATCGATTTGAAGATGGTTTGCAATTTCTTATACATTTTGGTTTTAATTAATTTCGAAAATGTTGTGTCCCTCGTTTTAATCTCAACTCCGTTACCACATCTTCTAATATAAATATTCCTGTCGCCATGGTTACCCGGCTCATTGTTAACACTACATAGGGAAGTTAATATTAGTATAATATAGCTGTAATATAGCTGAATATATTCAAAATTTTGATTGATTTCTACAAATATTTTTCTGGCTATTCAGATTCTCAACTCCATTATCTGTCGTGAAAGGTAAAGTTTAAGTGATTTCTTACTGTAATTACATTAAGTAAATTACTAAAAAATATACGAACACGGTATGCAACTATCAGCATAAAATCTAATTCAGTTTAATTTTGAATATTTTTGAAAGCGCGTTTTCTCAACTCCGTTACTAATGTTAGGCAATAGCATTTACAGTCACATTTAACAGTTACAACGCATTATGTACTGTAAATATTTTATTTTCAATGTATCCAACATTTAGTTAAGCTAAAGAAAAAGAAAACAGTGCTCAAATGTGATAATTTTCAAATTTATATGCACCATGTTTCTCTTGCTTTAGACGAGATCTAATTTTGAGTATAATTTCGATTTATTATTCTTTTGTTCCAAAATGTGAAAACTAGAGGTAAGGACCTAAGTGATGCTGCGGTTACAACATCAAAAAAAAAGAAAATATGCAATCAAAAGAAGAGGGATGCTTTGAGAAAACTGAGAGCGCAACGAAAAGCAGATCCTGAGGCTTAGGAAATTGCTAAATTGAAGGAAAGAGAGCGGTATCACCGCAGAATTAATTGCGATAAAATAAAAAAGATATCAATGTTAACAGATCCAGATAAAAGACGTAAAAGGAACATAGTAAAAAACTTACCAAGCACAAAAGGCAGCTAGAAAAACACCAAGTAGTTACAGAATTGATACAATCTATTCCGAGATACATATATGTTGCACCTCAGGAATATATCCCATCAGCATCGGTGTATAAATGTAGTGAAAAAGAATCTGTCTGTTGATGAAATCTTGAACCATATGGATTTTTCTAAAAATTACTTCTGTAAATATACTGAAAAAGTACAATCTGCACACTTTGGCTCTTTAAAGCATCAGATATCTTAGATATAATTGCGGCGTGGTAAAGTCTGTCAAGCAACCTTATCTCACTTTTGATACCTTAGTTGTATATTAAAAGCATCCACACCAGATTACGACACATTAGTAAAAGTCTTACAAAACTCAATAAAAGGGATCAAGATCTTTTGTATCGATGAAAAACTAATCCCTATTATCAACGAACTAGTCCCAAAAAATATTCTTACGTTTAAAAGTAGGATGAAAGTAGCCTGGATCAATAAATTAAGGAATAAACTTACTTTCAGAGAACAGACATGTCTGCGTTGTGAACCCGGCCAGATTTGCTCACACTATAATTTGGATCTATGGAGTATAGAACAGCTCTACGTTATAGCGTTGTATACAGGTGTCCCGTTAAGCGTACGGAGCGGCTGTATCTCAATAACGGTAAGGACTAGAGGTTTGGGAAAAAAATCCTTATAAGCAAAGTGGGCAAGAGAAATAGCTGGAAATTATTTTGAAGTTCGTAATTCGACCGCTAGGGGGCGTAACTGCCATAGAGAAACATAAAATTCCCGCTATCTCAGAAAGTTAGACGATGAGCTATAACTTTGACAACATCATTTAGTAGCTTGGATAATACCGCATCGCTTTTGTTTTGCAATATTTTTCATATCTGTCATAATAAGGGAGGGGGAGGCCAATGCGTTTTCAAATGTTTACATTTTAATATCTCCTGGACCATTCAACCGATTTGAATATTTTTGGTCTTGTTTGAAAGAGCATTTCATGCTCTTTTAAAAGATATTTTCAGTAAGACCGCTTGGTTTAAAACAAATAAGCTAGAGGGCGTTATCTGCAGCGGTTACATATTTTTGTGATTTTTGAAAAAAAGTTAAATGGAACGGTACTATTTACTTCACAGACCGTTAATCACCATAAAATTTGCTAAATATTAGTGAAAACCGCATCTCGATATCTCCATCCATTCTCGAATTATAAAAGAAAATGTTAAAAATTCGTATATCTTAATCGGATCAAGTTACCTTAGGAAACAAATAAGAGAGAACAAAAATTTTATTATCTAGAACCTTCCTTCACACTTTATCCAAGCTTAGAACTGCTTCAAAACTACTTTTGAGGCGTGTTGAAAAGCCAACGGATCAATGAAACATCAACAATGATAATAAAACAAAATAAACCAAAACACTTAGAATAACTTAAATTTTTGGCAAAAATAGCTCACTAATGTGCGAAATGCCTTACATAAACCTCGATGCATTTATTTAATCTAGTTTCGACGAAAAAAAAGCGCTGCTAAGTCTCGTCCCTGGACACGTTTTTACTGGTATTTAGTGTTTTGTCATATTTTCCCTGGTTATTGGTTTTTCTTGAAAAGTCAGGTCGTTTAGTCTACCCAATAGATAAAGGGGTGAAAGCAATGTGGGTTTTGCTCGAACCAAGAATGCATATTATGCAAGTTTACATCAGCTTGTGGACAGATGCTTCATGCATCCATAGCATTTGTGATAAAAGGTTTGGATTTGCCCAAATCATATTTAAAAGTCAATGGTAATAGTTCAGTCTGTTATCATAATCGGTATCTGTTAAGGCCTGATGTAAAACAACGTGGTGGAGATATTATTCTCTTGAGAACTCTTGTGGACAATTGTTTTCGGAGTTCCCAGATTATGTGGGATCACATTGCGCACCAATGTGATTTACGAATTCATAGAGATGTCTGAATGGGCTACACGTTGCCAGTTTTCCGTAATCGCTAAGTCAATCTTAAAAACACTTCTAGAGAAAAATGTCTTTCTTTGTCGTAATTGCATTGCACATTTTTGCCATGCAGTTGCATCGTATTCGAAACATTGAAAATAAATCATCATACGCTCTATCATACGCTTCTGCGTTAGTAAATGACATGTTTACAGTTACCATGGTTATGTGATTTGTTTTTCTCGATGAGGTAACTGGATCCGATTGATGGCACTCGAGTTTTTAACATTTTCTTCTATAACTCGAGAACGGGTGGCGATATCGAGATGCGGTTTTCACTAAAATTTAGCAAATTTTAAGGTGACTAAGGGTCTGTGAAGTAAATAGTATCGTTCCATTTAACTTTTCTTCAAAAATCACAAAAATATGTAATCGCTGCAGATAACGTCCTCTAGCTCATTTGTTTTAAAGCAGACGGTCTTACTGAAAATATCTTTAAAAAGAGCATAAAATGCTCTTTCAAACAACACCGAAAACATTCAAATCGGTTGAATGGTCTAGGAGATATTAAAATGTAAACATATGAAAACGCATTGGCCTCCCCCTCCCTTATTATGACAGATATGAGAAATATCGCAAAACAAAAGCGATGCGGTATTATCCAAGCTATTAAATGATGTTGTCAAAGTTATAGCTCATCGTCTAAGTTTCTGAGATAGCGGCAACTTTATGTTTCTCAATGGCAGTTACGCCCCCTAGCGGTCGAATTACGAACTTCAAAATAATTTCCAGCTATTTCTCTTGGTCACTTTGCTTATAAGGATTTTTTTCCCAAACCTCTTGGCCTTACCGTTCTAGAGATACAGCCGCTCCGTACGCTTAACGGGACACCTGTATACAGATTCATAATCATTGGATGATGATATACCATTGAGTTTAGTACGCAATAAGTTAAGATGTTAGGAACAAAACTTGGAATTAAATTATTATTTGTATATGCATATATATTCGTATTATTATACGAATTTTTTTCTTATAAACCTTTTTTTCACCCTTTCTAAGAATGACCCATATACTTATTACACCTAAAGCAATCTGGAACAGCTACTATTTTCACTAGAACAAATCTATAAAGGACACTTTACTCTTTGAAAATTAAAGTTTTTGGAATTTTCAGTCAATAATTCTTGCGTCAGTGATTTTAAATTACACAATAAGAATTAAAACACATAAAACAATTTAAAATAAGTATGCTTTGAATTCGCGAATAAAAGCCTACTAAAGATGACAAATGAATTGAGTTGCCAATTTTCGTTGATTAGAAGCGTCATGAGGCATCTTAGTGCAAGTTGCTAGGCTGTCGCCCTTATTCAGTATGGCCACTCTGTTCGACATGTTAGCACGGATCTGCGAGTTTCCCCTTTTGTTATTCAGTGTATGTGGAATCGGTTTCGGGAGACTGGCCAACATGTTAGAAGAGCTGGACAAGATCGAAATTGAAAAACTACTCAAAATCAAGACCGATTTCTTGTCGTTTCCGGTCTACGTACGCGTACTGCCACAGCACGAGATCTCCTAAACGACCTAAGACGAGCACATGGAATAGAAATTTCTGATCAAACTGTTAGAAACAGATTAAAAGAAGCTAATTTGAAACCTAGAAGACTGGATCACAGAAATTGGCAACTTTCGCAACTCTGATTTCGTTTAACTAGTTGCGACGGTCGAGTATGTGTATATAGACCTCTTGGTGAACGTTACGCAGTCATTACTATACAGGAAGTGGATAGATTTGGTCGGGGATCTGTTATGGTTTGGGCTGGAATCAGTAGAGACAACACAACTGATCTTGTTGTTGTTCCTGGTAGACTAAATGCCATGAATTACATTGAAAACATCTTGGTGCCTACTTCATATGGGGTCGGTCAAAATTTCATCCTAATGCAGAACAATTCAAAACCACATACCGCCGACATCACCAAAAATTTTTTGCAAGAACGTGAAATTCAGATCATGGAATGTCCTGACCTGAATCCTATTGAACACGTCCTATTCAATTGAGATAGTCTTAATAAAGTATTTGATAATAAACATCGTTTAAGCCTCACCACGTCTTTCATTTTACTTCACATTAAGATATCAAACGATGAGGCTGTAACAAACCTTAGCTGAACAATGAAAAATTTAAAAATCAAAAAATGAGGGGCTAACTCCCGTACTCCCAACACCACTGCTGCACCACCTTAGCCTTATGCGGTGGCTTCTGTTGGAATGTCCGATAAAGGGAGTCTTTTCTTCAGAATCTCATCAAGGTAGTTCTGGGAATTGATCTTTTAACCTCCTGATACACAAAAATGAACGGTGTCTTCCCGTTAATAACCTCAGTGTAGCCATTCGCGATAATTCTGTCGTTTTGATGGTTGAATGTTTGCTCAATCGTAAATAACTTGGGATGCCTTTGAGGTCTGCCATTATGAAGTATTTCAGAAGTTCACGACATCTCTAAAGGCTGTTCTCCGTAATCTGTTCCGTCTTGCATTTTGATGTTACGAAGCTCCAAACGACGTTTCATGATCGTGTGCACAGATTCAAGACTGATATTCAGCTCCTTAACGACTTTACTCAGACTCCTCTTGGAATTCTGGTAAACTTTATCCCAGACATACTTGACTATGGTGAGAGTCTTTGGATTTCCAATTATGGGATGATCCTCGATGCTATTGAACTCTCAATAATGACAGATTATGCATTAGATGCCTGTAGGAGAAACTTTTCCTGAGCCACCCCGACCTGGATCAACCTCAAAATCATGGCACGGTTAACGCACAAAGTTAGAACATCGCAAAGTTAAGCTTCCGGATTTTTGTGACACTCTTTTAGTCCCATATTTTTTGATAAATCTCCAAACTAAGTTATAACCATGATAAATGCGAATTTATATTAAGTTCTTTCCAAACAAAATTAAATAGGTTTTAACTAAAACAAAAAAGATCATTGAGAAGTACAAAAAATATAACGATAAAATTAACAATATAACTTTTTTAGTTGGTTATACAACGCGTGATGTGATTTACAAGTGGAATAGAGCTCGTCAAATCGTAACAGCGGAAGATATGAAGTTGTCCCAATTTGATTTGATTGGCACTCCAACCGCAAATTACACAGACGCAATAACTGGTGGTGACACTCTATCAGATGTTACAACCAACAATAGTTAGATAATAAAATATTCAATATTAAAATCGTTAAATTTCATTGTTTTAGCCGAATTTTCGATGCTTTTGGTCAGTTTTCACCTTCAAAGGCACATGGGAAACTTTTTAATCCAAGTTTACGGACCTTGCGTGCTCCTCGTCGTGTTATCTTGGGTTTCTTTTTGGCTTAATAGAGAAGCGACGGCCGATCGAGTTTCTTTGGGAATCACGACAGTTCTTACAATGACTTTTTTAGGTTTAGAAGCAAGAACTGATTTACCTAAAGTACCATATCCGACAGCTTTAGATTATTTTGTTTTTGTATCGTTCACGTTTATATTTGCAACTATTATTCAAGTAATTATTTATTTTAATTCACTTTGAATATTTAATTTTTTTATAGTTTGCAGTGGTGCATTATTTCACTAAATACGGTTCAGGCGAATGTTATTTTAATGCGGAAATGTTATTTGATTCGAGTAGCGAGGAAGAAGATTGCAATTCTGAAATATGTAAATGTATTTCGACTTCAGCTACAACATCGGTGAGGTAATGTTTTATTTTGAATTTAATTAATTTTGTTTGATTTTGTAGGAAGTTGGTCAAAACGATTTTTTAATCGAGGTAATTCCGTTAACTCCTTGTACTTTACCGAGTAAATCAGGAAATCGGATGAATCGAAATTGGCATTGTTGGATGAATTCGTCAAAAGAAACCAATGTTTCTTCCATATCGAAACCAATGACTCAAAAAGCTCCGAGTACATCTCATCGGGAGCATTGTAAGAGGAAGAAGAAAAAAGCAACTCCGAGGTTTAATTCGGTCTCGAAAATTGATAAATTTTCCCGGATTGTTTTTCCCATGCTTTTTTTAGCGATTAATATTTTTTATTGGTATAGTTATTTATCGCGGACTAAACGAGTGAGATAAACGTAACGATAAAATGTATTTAGAATGTTTTAAAAAAGTTAATAAAGACCATAAATATTTCAATATAATTTATTTCTTGTATGTAACAAAAAACTTTATTAAAGGTGATCACTATTTGAATAGGAAACTGAAACAAAAATCGTATTAAAAAAAATAATAATAATATAAACAACATAATTAATTACCTATAAGGGTAACCTTGTGTCTTCGATCTAAACACCGACAATATTAAAGAAAAGAAAACTGTAATCAAAATCAACCCAGCGATCGCTAAAATTTTCCGCTTTTTCGGATCCCGCTTTGTATTTCCAGATTCCGTTAATAAAATCATTCCCAATACGATAGCAGCATCTAAACAAATTAATTTTAAAACAAATTTCCTCTTCCCATCTCTTACTTACTAAGAATCATAACTATATAAGTTTCTAAAACAAATTGAGCTTGTGATGATCCGTGTATATAAGCAATTTGTCCGTTGGCCCCTTTATGTAAAAAAGGGGGACCGCGAATGTGATTCCACATCTGCCCAGAAACCATACTGAAGCAGAAAAATAACGCTCCAGTTGCCCACATATTCTTGTTATAAAGAAACTCCAAGTTATTCCTTCGCAAATATAAAATAGCAGCAACCAAAGCAAAAAGAATCACCAATGCTAAAGTTCCGGAATAATTTGGTGGACGGAATACACGAATCTAAACAAAATTAGGTTAAATTTAATTATTATTATATAGAGGTGTCTCCGAAATGCGTGTACAACGGAAAACTTGACTCCTTGGCTCAAAATAGGTCGATTTAATTTAAGTTATTATTTAAGTTTTCCCAAGTTATTTGCTTGTTGTTTTACAGTTCGCGGTAGTAAACCGGTATTGACGTACATTTTCTTTATTGTATTTAAAGCCTCTTCTTTTTCTATGAATATTAACTTATACGTACTTTTAGTAACATCTAAATATATAGACATAGTTTATTAGCGTTTATCATTAACTTTCATTTGTACTGGTGATAATTTTTTCTGGTGATTCTTTTTTTTGTAATTTGTCAAGTGCTACACTTATAGGTTTCAAGATATTCAAATAATCTTCCGCTGAGCGTTTGTGACCAATGTGACCAACTTTTTTGTATATTGGCGAATCACACAATTTCTCCCATTGGCTTACACATACTTCCAAACACTATTCCACCTCACATCACTTCACAGCACTAATGCTTTTCCATCAAGGTGTCTGTATTTGGCCCTAGCTAATTGGTTCTTTCTAAAATATTTTATAATTTATGTAACGTGCTCTTTGATATTTGTTACTTCTAAATCTTTGCAAGGTAGGTTTAGAAGGTGAGCTGAATATCCATAAGTTATCACTGAAACATATATATGTTTCAACACTATATGTATTTAGGAACAATGATTAATAATTTTCAAATTAAGGCGTTTATTTCTTCTGGATTC